ACCTTATCTCTTTCTTAACAGTTCTCATGTTCATGGCTTCATGGATCTCAGTGTTTGTCACAAACCTTGGTACGTTTGCTATAGTTCTTAAGATGCCATTCTACATTCTTTGCATGATATTTAAACCGGAGTCGCATGCACTTCCCCACAGTTGCAATCCATACGTCCATATTAGCTTCAGGATCATTTTGTAGATTAGGAGCTTATTGTCAGTGGAAAGCTTCGAGTTACGTGCCATCAGCCAGTAAATGTTTTTGAACCGCATGTTTATCTCATCTCGTTTTGATTGGATGTGTTTTTTCCATGTCAGTCTTTTGTCCAGGTGCATACTGAGGTATCTGACTGTATTACATTGTGGCAGGGTGATATCGCACATTTTTACCGATTCGCAGCTTTCTTTCCTAAGCGTAAATGTTATGTGGACGGTTTTTGTAGTATAAGCCTTTATTCGCCATTTCTGGAGCCATTCAGTCACCTTGTCAAGATTGTTCTGCAAGGTAGCAGAAGCAACAGCTTGGTCCGTGCTGCTTGCAAGTAGTGCAGTGTCGTCCCCAAATGTAGCTGTGGTAACGCCTTGTGTTTCAGGAAGGTCAGCAGTATATATGGTGTACAAGACCGATCCCAGGACAGTACCCTATGGAACTCCCGCCATTATATCGTGAATATTTGATAGCTCTCCGTCTTCTCTCACCTGGAAAATTCTATCTACCAGGTATGATTTCATCAGTGGATAATAACTATGGGGTAGGAATGCCTTTATTTTGTATAGTAGGCCTTTATGCCACACCTTATCGAACGCAGCCTGGATGTCCAGAAACACGGCAGAGCAGTATTCTTTGTTTTCAAACAATATAAGTTAACAATATATTTGTAATAAGCAATTTTATAGATTCAAATTTATAATTAAATCGTTTATTGTACTTTAACTCAACTTTAATTAACGTCATTTCTGTGTGTATTATCATTGTGAGCTGATGCCAAAGTAGTCCTGGGTTTCCCGTTTGAATGATTAGACAGTCCATTTTTTTATGCTTGGACAGGTGAACGACCTAACAGCCCACCCGATGTTAACTGGTCACTGGAGGCAAAAAAAAGGCCTAGGGGTAGAGGTCCCAAATGATGGTCGAACCAAATAGCGGAGAAACTGAAAATACCGGTCAGCGACGCACTCCAACAAGCTATAGAACGGGATCGATGGAGACAGCTAGTTGACCGAATCGGACGGAGTCGCGATCCTCAGCAATGAGGGACCGATCGAAGAGAGAAAGAGAGAGAGAGAGGAGGCTATTAATAACCTAAGTCTCTATTCTCGTACCAGAGCTGCTTCAGCCTTCAAACCGAAATACGTTATATTTTCGCGGCAGAAATAGGTAGGGTGGTGGTACCTACCCCTGTGAGCTCATAAGACGCCCTACCCCTAGTTAAACAATAAAACTGATTGATCCTCTCGTCTTATGTTAGCTGACGGGTTTCTCCTTATAATGATGACTAACCTATACTAATGATGTAAGAATAACACCTATAATAATGACTGATATTTATTTAGTGCAGAAAAAAGTATGTACAAATTAAATTATTTTAATCATCAAAAGATCGGTAATACAAAATCGTTTGAACATAATATAATCCACCATTTTATGTACCTATTGTAAATTCTTATAATTCTTTATTTTGGATTTATTTGTCCCGGGTTGAGATAAACAACATAAAAAAACATACCTTTGGCAAACTTGAAACGGTATAGATATAGAATAAAGGTGGTTGTACTTCGGTCAACGTGCTTGTCGAAGGCTTCGACTTGCAACCTGGGCTAGGTTACACAGACACAACTCATTGAGTTTCTAGCTAGGTCGTCGCAATGGATCTTGATTCCGATCCGCCGCATCTGCGCTCATCTTCAATTCACAATTCTTCTTCAATATGGAAACACAAACAACCATTGAATATGAAATTTCGAAAAGGGCACATGTCGCATATTTTGTCAAATACGTTTTTTCATTAACATGTAGTTTTGAGGCTTACATACGCCCATTTTATAATAATTCCAGTAATTTTCAATTGCTAATTAACAATAAAATATATCTCAAAAGTTAATATTTTAAATTTTACACTGCTTTAGAAAATATTAATCAGTTTTTTTCATTTCCTGAACATTTTACCTTTTTCAAAGATGTGCCCTTTTCGAAATTGCATATCGACGCTTGAAAAGCAAACGTGACTCAGCGACAATAACTGCTTTGTACAAAAATGATAGGCAATGACCATAATCGATGCACAAAAAATATATATTTCTAGGTCTATTAAAATCATTTCAATCCTACAGCTACTAACTAGATTCTACTACAGCTGGATTCGACAAAATAAATTTTGTTTTCAGGTATTTCAACTTTAAATTAGTCTACTGTAAAGTTCACGCATTGTCGCTTAGTCACGTTTGCCTTTCAAGCGTCGATATTCAATTGTTTAAGAATTTGATAAAAGCATACAATTTTTACTAAGGCTTGTATTCCGGAAAATTCGTTCCTGTACAAAAATTGAATAAATACAGGAGTGACTGATTGCTTTCGATCAATTAACCCTATCGTTGCGGTTTCGCGTGACACAGGATTTTTTTTTTGTAATATACCTATCGATTCAATTTTTATCTTAACTCAACCAGTTTTTACCAACAATGCTATTTTCAGATATCTTTTTTGGCACGTACCATCCGGTTTTGGTATGAACTGCCCTCCACACTATTCCCAGTGAGCTTTGAGATTACCTCTTACAGTGAGATTTTCAAGGATGCCTGTGGTTGACAGTACCTTGATTGTACCAATATTGCCAGTGTCCATAAGCGGGTAGGATCTTGCTTGTCTGTCTGCTATGCAAAGAAAAAGGTGTTTGGCAATCACAGTCTGTTGGTTGCTCATTAAAAGAAAACCGCTCTTCGCAAAAAAAAATGTTGCTTTTTTGCCTAGATGGGTGGACGAGCCCGTGGTCGAATCCGTCGCTTGCGGCGATGGGCTCGACGAGTAAATTAACCCTCAGACACAGCCCACTGAATTTCTCGGCCCGGATTTTCTCAGTGGGTTGCGTTTCCGATCCGGTGGTAGATTCTGCGGAGCACGGCTCTTGCTAGGGTTCGTGTTAGCAACGTCGTCAGGTTTGAGCCCCGTGAGCTCACCTACTAGTTAAGGTTACGCTGAAATAGCCTCTCAAGGCTCTCAGCTTAGGTGGGGGAAAAAAACGGATACGACATAAGACATAGACAGTAAAAAATAAATAAACACAGGACAATGACATAAAAATTGCCGCAGTTCTTACATAGCTATGAACTGGTCAGTCATGGACTGGTAAATCTTGACGCAGATCAACAAATAAACAGACATGAAAATAGCGTTATTGTGCTAACTGCTATTCATTAAACTAGATGCCATTTGCAATTTCGTCGAATCAGTGTTTATTAGTTTCCGTTTTAGATCTAGATAGAATCAAGGGATCCCTTTGAGAATAATGGCAATACTAAATGCCAGATTAAACCGTAAATGTAATTATAGCTATTCACTTGAACCAAATATAAATATCACATTGAATAATAAAAAGATGTGTGGTGTCGTGGGACACCGGATAGGAACGAAGTTCCTTATTATATAAATATTATTAATTTTAAGTTCTATTCGTTATTATGATTTTTTTATTGATAAAAAAAAATACTTTACAAAGTTATCAACTTTATTTTATTTATAATGATTTATAAAAAATATTTAATATTAATATACCAAGAAACAGCTATTTATATGAATAATAATAAAAAGAAGGAGAAAGAGCAAGGTATTATACACTACTCGCTTGTGTATGCGATTGTCGCGCCTGCGCACGTCTCATTTAACGGTTTTATTCCACGCACTTTTTTCCACGGATTTTTTCTTACGGTTTTACTATCACATTTTTTTCAGTTCGGTCGCACAGCAAAATCCCTATGCCCTCCAAGCCTGCCGTAAGGAACTTCGTTCCAAAATTATAGTTGATTTTTGACTGCGTGTTCAAGAAATTTCATCATGCGTCGTTCGTTGGTAGTGGTTAGTGTTGTTGGTAGTCTGAACGATGATGTCCGTATTAAAAGTCAAAATTATAGCTGGAGGAAATTGGGCGTGAAACACTTTAATATGTTGCTAAATTAGCAATTGAATATTATTTTTCTCTTCTCTTAGATTATTAATTCTGTGACACATCGCGTTACAACTTACTTAAATACCGACTCTAAGAATTATTCTTATAAAATAATCTACAGTTCATAACTAAGAAACGTCCGTAATTAACCTCTTAATAGTAGTTTTATTACCTATTAATTAATGATAATAATTAATTGTCTATTCGGGGAGATTCATTTAAAATGGTTACGGTGGCGCATATACAACGGAACATGAATGTCATCACACACCTATTTATGTCGAGTTCGACTTCTCAATCACCAAAATAGCCAATGTCTTATACAACTACAAATGACTACATTGATACCAAATGTTTACGATTGACTCTCATGGCGAAGGAATAACATCGTATAATAAAAATGAATCCCGCAAAATTATAATTTGCCTAATTACTGGTGGTAGGACCTCTTGTGAGTCCGCACGGGTAGGTACCACCGCCCTGCCTGTTTCTGTCGTGAAGCAGTATTGTTATTTCGGTTTGAAGAGTGGGGCAGCCGTTATACTGTACAAACGGAGACTTTAGAACTCATATCTCAAGGTGGGTGGCGGCATTTACGTTTGCAGGTGTTTATGGGTTACGGTAACCACTTAACACTAGGTGGGCAGTGTGCTCCTCCATCCATCTAAGCAATAATTAAATAAAAGAGTGAATATAAAATGTTTCGTTAAACCGAAGTCTTATTTTGTACAGGAAAAATGATGAGAAAATTAATGCCGTGTCTAAATTTTATATCATGCACATTTTTACGACGCTCACACGCAAGATACAGAGCGCTTCAAGATTTTTGAAGTTTTGAAGTCAGTCAGCGTTCTACCGTCGCACTGTGCAGACGTCATGTTCTTCAAAATTATTATATTAAGTGTGTTAGTCACAATATGTTCTGCGCAACCCAGAGCCGCTCAATACATCGTCCCTCCAGCTAAACTTGAAGCTATATATCCAGCTGGATTAAGGGTAACAGTGCCAGGTACGTAGGTCTTTTTATAATTGACGTATGCAAGGCAGGAGATCCTCAGCTTTTGCTTATTTCTGCCGCTAACGAAGAAGTGTAGGAAGGCCATTGTAAGTCATTAATACAAAGGTCTCGTCCCTACGGTAACCTCTAAGTGTTAGGTGAATCGGTAGAGAAAGTAGATTAGAACGAAAAGGAAAAAATAATGTTAGTACGAGAACACGTTAATATTTAAAGGATAAACAAGAAACTATCGGAATTCCTAGATATAATAAATTAATTGGCGTTGCGAGCTTTGAATGAAAATCGAATCGTTCGATCTAATCTAGCTAGGGTTTCCACTGCAACATTTTATGGAACATAAACGAATGTTCTTCACGTCTTGGGTTAGGGTCTCTAAAGCGTTTGGAGTAATGATTTTAAGACAACAAACCAGTAGTAGGGCATGTTGTTATCCCGTAGTTCTGCTTATTTCTGACATAAATCAGGTTTGCGTTCCAGTTTGAAGGGTGGGATAGCCGTTATATGATAATAAATAACCAGATGATGACCGAGCTTTGCTCGGCTTTTTTTTTATAACGCCATCTTGTTGTGTCTTCAAAGCAGTAAAAATAGTATTATTATTCGCCAATAGATGTCGGGAAGAACCATTTGATTATTGAAAACACGAATAAAACAACATCTTCTGAAAATAAATCGTAGCTAGATCGATTTATCGCCCCCGAAATCCCCTGTATACTAAATTTTATGAAAATCGTTGGAGCCGTTTCCGAGATTCAGATTATATATATATATACAAGATTATATATACAAGAATTGCTCGTTTAAAGGTATAAGATAAAATAATTAACAAACAACTTAGCCCCAGTAATTATACTCAATTTTTGTCAACCATCTTGTTTTGTATCACATTAATATTGTATTCGAAAAGAATTATCCTCATACCGAACCGCTTTAGGAGAATAAATTAGTTAAATATTCTTTAAGAGCTATTTTCCAACGAGACATGCATTGATATTAATATTAATCAATATATAATATTCAATGAAACTTCAAAATGGGAATCTATTTCATAATAAGCGACGTAAATCTACTGAGGCTTGATGCCATCTTCGTTCCTTCCAAGATTCGTATTGAAATATATTTGTCCAACCCGGACTAATAGGTGATGATAATGATAATATATTTATTTGTTAAAGTAACCACGACTCATTACGTTACTACATCTCTTAAAATTATGTTAGTATCAAAAAAACATTTATGTATGCAAAATTAAGGTAATCATAAGAAAAATTAAAAAAAAAACTTAGATCGGCCTAATTTTAAAACACAATTGAAAATCTTGGTCAATTCTACACCCAGATGCGGAGTTTTAGCATACACGCAGACACATAAATGCTATTTATCATTTCAATACATGTATAAATTTATATGTGTAATAATATTATGTATAAAGATAATGGTTTTGTTTATCATTTTCCTCGTTCTAGCAAAGATGTCACAAGTTTTTTTTTTAAATCTGTAAGTTTTTTAACAATCAAGACTCTCTCATACACAAAAGTTCTAGTACAAGGAAAGAAAATTCTAATATATTGCAACATATTTTTTGACATCAGCGTTAGGCAAATCTTCTTTTTGCAGAAATCGTCCTTATGCGTACTGTCGTGTATATTTTTTTCTATTACCTGACATTTTTTCGCTGATAATCATTACGCTATTTTTAAGCTATTGAATAGCTTTTATCGTGGGCCTTGAGCGCGGTATAGCTTATGAGTGTGAAAGGGACAGTTAAGGTTTTGCTTTTATTAATGTTTAATATAGAGTGGTCTTGTTTTATTATTGTTTTAATATTAAATTATCATTGTCTAATTATAATTGCATAAGTTGATAAAAAATGCTATGCAATGGCTTTACCGCGGCAGTTCCCGAGTGCCACATGATTTTTTTTTTCGAAACAGCTATGTAAATTGGAATTATCACGTGTTTACGATCCAAATCCAAAATGAGAGAAAACATTGTTTAAAAATTAGGTCCTTAAGAAAAAAAAAGATTACATTGAAATTGCTTTGCTACTGCTGAGCCTACGTTTTACGCTAAAAATAGAGAATACATACTCTAACTCAAGCTAAGCAATAGAAAGAGAATTGCTTTAGCGTAAGTTGATGAAACTAGTATTTAGAACGATTGACTAGAATCTACTGCCAGTATTACCAAGGATTTTGACATGCTGTGTATCCTGTGATAAAACAGAACTATTATCACGTGTTCTATATTCCTTTGTCAGTCAGTACTAGACTTGTGAATATTACCGTAAAATACTAGTCAATACTCGTGAGCATTATTATAAAATACTAGTCAAACACTAGACAAAAATACTAGTGTACATAACAAAAATCTAGTGAACCGCAGTCGTATTTCGTTGAGATGTCACTATTCAAACTACATTAATTCGCTTGTAACTTTGACGAGATAAAGACAAGACTCTATATACATTGCAAAAAGTTTCTGCGACAGTATTTAAATATATATAGATATCCATAATAACATAAATATGTTTTGTGTATGATTTGATTACGCTTTGAGTAACAACAAGTCTATATTTAACTTCACTACTAAGAAACCGTGATATTTTCATAACACTATTAAGGCAATGACTCAGGCCTTTTTATTTTTTATTATATTTCCAGTTTTTTTTTTGTTGTTGACCGCTTACGAAATGTGTTTTTTAGTTTACTTTGACTGTAAAGCGATAGTTCTTGTTGTTCCTTTAATTTTGTTCTCAAGATATCCTTTCGCACTTTTTTTGAAGTGAAAACTTCTTTAGAATCGTTGTGATTTCAAACCGGATGCAACGGAAAAAACGACAGGTAAGAGACACAAATACAAAAATGTGTAGGATGAAGCCAGCAAAGAATGAGACAGAAATATACATACTATTTAATACAGCGCCATCTGTGAGATTTTTTAATACTAACATGTGTATGAAAGCTCTTGTAGTGAATTTTAATTTAGGATTATACGTGAAATTAAAATATCAATTCACAGAGGGCACTACCTTACAATTATTTACTAATGACAAAATTTTACATATACTTAAGNCATACAATTATTTACTAATGGCAAAATTTTACATATACTTAAGACGTTTAGGATAATTGTATTTTAATTTTGGAAGGTTTCACTTCTACCACGTGTGAATTGCACACATTTTGTTTTTTTCCTACCTATTCGCTGGTATCCTAAGGAGCTATTCCAGCTACGCCCGGACGGGTAGGTGAGCTCACGGGCTCAACCTGAATTTTCTAACACTAGCCCTAGCAAGAGCAGTGCTTCGCAGAATCTACCACCGGATCAGAATCGCGACCCACTGAGAAATTCCGGCGAGAAACTCAGTGGGCTGTGTCTATGAGTCAGTTCGCTCGTCGAACTCTTCATCGTAATCGACGATTACTATATCATATTTTATCAAGTACTTAATATTATGAAAGTCGTTCACAAGACGTTATAACAATATTCCACGATTAGTTTCATTCACAAAAGCTCCAAATTTCTCTTAGTCACACATATTTCGAATTCTTAACATTTAGTTAAATAAATATTTACGCATAAATAAATCTACTACACAGACGAATACAGCTAGCTTTAAATTCAAATCCATTAACTCATCAACAAATGACTTTGATTTAAGGAAAACGAGACAATGATAAAGTAATCGGTTGATAACAAATATGACCTCTTCAAATTTAACACTCCGTATTTCCCCAGTTTTCTCGTTCTTTATGTTCAAACAAATTCAGTAACTTTATCCTCAACAGTGCTCACGGCCAATATCAGATTTGTCTTCAATCAAAATTGGTTTTTAATATTCAATGTAGGATACAGGTTCTCCTGCGCATAGATAAGCCGCTGCCTTCAGCTTTATCACTTTTATTTTTATTTTTTATTGCTGAGATGTGTGGACGAGCTCACAGTCCACCTGGTGTTAAGTGGTTACTGGAGCCCATAGACATCTATAACGTAAATGCGCCACACACCTTGAGATATAGTTCTAAGGTCTCAGTATAGTCACAACGGCTGCCCCACCCTTCAAACCGAAACGCATTACTGCTTCACGGCAGAAATAGGCGGGGCGGTGGTACCTACCCGTGCGGACTCACAAGAGGTCCTACCGCCAGTAATTACGACGACGACTTCGACACGACGACTTCAGACTCTAAAGCGTTTGGACTAATGATTTTAAAACAACATACCAGTAGTAGGGCATGTTGTTATCCTGTAGTTCTGCTTATTTCTGACATAAATCAGGTTTGCGTTCCAGTTTGAAGGGTGGGATGGCCGTTGTATGATAATAAATATAATAAAATAATTAACAAACAACTTAGCCCCAGAAATTATACTCAACTTTTGTCAACCATCTTGTTTTGTATCACATTAATATTGTATTCGAAAGGAATTATCCTCATACCGAGCCGCTTTAGGAGAATAAATGAGTTAAATATTCTTTACGAGCTATTTTCCAACGAGACATGCATTGATATTAATATTAATCAATATATAAGATTCAATGAAACTTCAAAATAGGAATCTATTTCGTAATAAGCGACGTAAATCTACTGAGGCTTGATGCCATCTTCGTTCCTTCCAAGATTCGTATTGAAATATATTTGTCCAACCCGGACTAATAGGTGATGATAATGATAATATATTTATTTGTTAAAGTAACCACGACTCACATTGCTTAGATGTGTGGACGAGCTCACAGCTCACTGGAGCCCATAGACATCTACAACGTAAATGCGCCACCCATCTTGAGATACAAGTTCTAAGGTCTCAGTATAGTTACAACAGCTACCCCATCCTTCAAACCGAAACGCATTACTGCTTTACGGCAGAAAGAGGCGGGGTGGTGGTACCTACCCGTGCGGACTCACAAGAGGTCCTACCACCAGTAAAATCCATATCCTAGTCGGGATTTTTATATTGGAGCGAATAGACTACTGTTACCACTCAACACCATGTAGACTGTTGGTTCTACCCAGTAGTAAAAACCATTAAGTTAATATTCTTTCCACAAATCATCATCCGTTGTGTCTGTATGTCAGCGTCTGAAAAATTAAATGAACACTTTGTGGCCATTGACCACTTTTTTATGACCGCAGGGGCCCACGACTCCACCGTCTTCGATAAGGCAATGAACTATAATGGATTTAAAGCTTTGCGATGTAAAAGAATTATTCGCATGTACCGGTTTTTGTATGTAAAAAAATCGTTTCGTACGCTAAGAAATTGTTTAACTGGATTTTCGGTTAAATAAAATTTATGCATTAATTAATTATTCATGCCGTGAACCAATCGTACTTACATGGTCAAAGAGTAGCATAAATGTGATTCCAAACTAATTTATTACCTCGTTAGTCTAGTCAGTGATGAAGACACTGTACCGAATAAACTTCTGATGGGCGCTCAGTACCTTTGGTCAATGTATTTGGACAACGCTCTCAAAATTTACACATATGTATTTTCTTTCTCACACCTCAAACTATTACCTTAGTGAATATTGTCAAAATCAATTCAATGGTTTGAGAGTAATAAAAAATTTTGATAAACTGATTCTTGTTCGTAAGCATTTCCATAATACTGGATAAAATCTAAGTTTATCTAGGAACGATCCTAGTCTGATGCGATGGTAGATGGGAGAAACTGGTAGGTCACGGTGAAGGTGAAAAGGTTTTCGAGCCACAAACATATTCCACTATCCCAAAAAAGGCTCTGACGAAGTGCATTACTGTAGCACCATTACATTTTAATTTAATTCGTTGCTTTTGTTTCATATACTTATGAGCTTAGTTCAAAATATAGTGGGAAAACGAGATGTTTGTGTACATCAGAGGATAATTGTTTCTTTTTATTAATCTTCGACGAGTGATTATAATAATAGAAAGTTAACAGGAAATGAAGAAGCAAGCTTTTTTTTTTTTTATTGCTTAGATGGGTGGACGAGCTCACAGCCCACCTGGTGTTAAGTGGTTACTGGAGCCCATAGACATCCACGACGTAAATGCGCCACCCACCTTGAGATATAAGTTCTAAGATCTACAACGGCTGCCCCACCCTTCAAACCGAAACGCATTGCTGCTTCACGGCAGAAATAGGCAGGGTGGTTGGTACCCACCCGCGCGGACTCACAAGAGGTCCTACCACCAGTGAAAAGAGGTCTAAGTTTCCGTCATCCAGCGAAACACAAGTGGAGCGAAATACGAGGGATTAAAGTATATATTCCAGCTCATAAATATCACACCCTGCTTACCGTTCCCCTCTTGAGACATGGAAAAATATCTCGCTTACTTACAACTTATTTTGCACTTTTGTATTTAAGAAATGTAACGAGACTCAAAGCGTGTGTGGCGTTTTGGTTCGGAGACCTTAAAATCAACAAAGATATTAAACTAATAAATAGCTTTTAAAGTCATTCACCTTTCATAACGGCGCCGCTTCGATTGATCATCATTATTCATGGGATATGTTCAAACTTTTTTCACAAAAACTTTAATCACTGACAGACATTAAGATAAACGAGTTCGGAATTAAAAAAAATAAAAATACATCGCAAATAGTACAGTCCTCTTTTCGAAATTTGCTAGTCGTGGACATATTTACTACATACTACTGGGTTAAATATGTATAATAATAATAATATAATAATGTTTTTATTGCAAGTAACCATGACTCATATAAATTGTTAATAATATGGTTTATTATTATCATTGTATTATTTCAGACATTTCGATATTCGATATTTGAAGATCGTAATAACTACAATTAAATTTTAAAATAGAAATTATATCTCGACATTTTGCGAACAATAAACGCGATTTTAAACAGTAAAAGTAACTTTAATTACGTAACATAGATTAAATGTTGAATTTTCTATAAAAAATATATATATTAATTTTTAATGTTCCTCTCGCGTCTCTCAACTCCGAAGTCACGACCTACTAGACTATAAAATTTAGATAATTTTTATAAAATAGTTCTCAGTGATCAGAATTCGACCTTGTCTCCCATATTTCAAGTTTTGATTCGTTTTATTAACTAAAATATCTAATATTTGCACCTTTTTAAAAATTTCTTAACTTTTTTAACTTTTTTTTTTCTTTGTTACTAAGATGTAGACGAGATCACAGCTCACGTGGTGTTAAGTGGTCATCGACCACAATCTATGAATCTTTTGTTCTGATTGACCTTTACGCGACTTATTCTATTATAATGCTCGCAGAAATTAAACACTAGAGAAATAAAAAAAGTGAAAATAATATCAAGTATCCGACATTTAGTGATATTTTTATTTTTAAAGTTAACAGTGCAGTGAGCACACTGGTGAGTAAACTGGTTATACAAAGTTGCCGTTTGAGTCAGTCCACGTAAATAAATGAGAAGCAGGTTTGACGAGTTTGGTAATTAAAAAAAAACAGTATAGTAACTTTAAACGATGTTTGAAGTCGATTTTCGATTTATTTCACACAAACAAACACCCAAGCCGAATCAGAATCGAATCTCTTCGGCAAACACTTGAGGACTCTTTGAAGGTGGCAGGTCGAGACCAATATTATAACGCTCAATGATTTGTCTCCAAATTAAAACTTCTCCTCGGTGGTGTTATTTTAGATGATTCCGGCATCTCTATTTTATCATCGCATCACCTGATACCAGAACAGTGTTCATTTATATTGTCTAGAGCTACTGCATTCATCAACAGTGCGTTAATTGTGTGTTCAATTTCCTACCTAATTGCTGGTACCCTAAGAGCACATTTTACCTTCTCGCGGACGGGTAGGTGAGCTCACGGGCTTAACCTTAGAGTGTGCTAACACTAGCCCTAGCAACGGCAATGAGAAGATCCGGCGAGAAACTCAGTGATTTGTTTCTATGGGTTAATTCGCTCGTCGAACTTATTCCACGAGGACGGTGACCGGTGCTTAAGCCTAAAAGCACCGAGAATGGCCAATGCGGGTCCAAGTCGCTTTGAACAGCTTTTTATCTAACAGAGCTGTAGTCCGAGCTGAGTGGTAGGCATTAGCACCTCTAGCATTGGTGACACCCAATGGTTACAGCTCATCATCTCTAGGCCTTACAACGTTCGTCTTCAAAGGCAATAAAATGTTTATAATATGTGAATAATGAATAAAGAAAAATAACGCTGCACCTTAAGCAATAATCGGCAAACTTGATGATGCGAAGTACTATCTAAGGCGGTCTAGCTTAGAGTAGAGTAGAGTACTTGAGGCGGAACGAATATTGAATTCTGGGAATAATCGATTCCTAGCAGTGGCAACGTATGGCGTATTAATATCACCTTTACGGCACGCTATAAATTCGAATTTTCTTCTTATTTTGCAATTGAGCACATCTTGCATAGCACTTCGATGCTTGACAATTTTTAACCATCGTGATTCTAAAATTATATACATTAGTATTCAGTTGTAAGTATCGCATCTGCAATACTTACAACTATAAGTCGTGAAAACGATCTTGTTTACACGACTGACCACAACTACTGTCTATTGACAGTATATTGGCATTCTCACAGGCAACTGTTAGATTTTAATTGCTCGTTTATCCATTTAACTCAATAAAATAGGCTTTTGCATTTCAGATCTCTAAGTAAAATAATATATATATTATTAGTAAACGTAAAAAATATCTAACGCAGTTCCATCTGTTTTTCAGACGATGGTTTCTCGCTCTTCGCCTTTCACGGCAAGCTCAACGAAGAGATGGAAGGCCTGGAATCGGGGCATTGGTCCAGGGACATCACTAAAGCCAAAAACGGCGTTTGGACGTTCAGAGACAGAAATGCTCAGCTAAAACTGGGAGATAAGATTTATTTCTGGACGTATGTAATCAAGGATGGCCTCGGATATAGGCAGGATAACGGCGAATGGACTGTAACAGGTGAGCTTTATAATAGATATATAGATACGTTTTTTTGAAACACCACAAATTAAGATAGTAAATTTAAAAAAAACACAAAAGTAGTTAATACGTCAATTGAGGATCGGCGACGGAAAATCAAATTGACGGTGGTAGGACATCTGGACAACCCCCACGGATAGGTACCCTGCCTATTTCTGGTCCTTGCATTTTACAAAATGCCACCCCATCAGAGATAGCTGCAGTCCAGTTCCACCAGTCATGTGATTAGCTAAAGACACATACTTCCCATGAAACCATAATAAAAAATCCATGCCATTCCATTGAGGATCTAATGTCTTCAACTATTATTCGAATATTCGCAAATTCCCAGCTACTTACTTGAACTACCAGTATTACTTTCCCAATACGCCCAGTAAATTAAGTGATTAGCTTCTCCCTATCCTCTTTGTCTTTGTCATCTTATCGTTAGGAGCTATTGCTATGATGAATCTGTAGCGGCGGGTACAAACATCCTCATTCTGTAGCTAATTTGTTTCGATGTTGTTATAGGCATTATCACATATCAAATTTGAGGTGGAAATTCAAATAGAAAGTGTAGAGCTTCAAATAATAAATTGGAACAGAAGTAAAAAAAGAAACAAATGTAATCTGAAGACAGAAATTCATAATCGAGTGATTTTAGAACAGTAACATTTTCTTTTCAGAATTCGTCAATGAAAATGGGAATCCAGTAGACGTAGCCAACCCACCTGTGGCTACATCTACCACGGGTCCACTGCAGATACCTCAACAAGCCAGCACTCCTATCGTTAGACCGGAACAGACGTGCCAAACGTCAGAAACAGTGGTCCAAGGCCGCGATAAAATCTGTAAGGGAACTTTGATCTTCAGTGACGAATTTGAAAAGAATAGCCTTAAAGATTTGACGAGTTGGGGAGCTGAAGTAAGATTTCCTGAAGAACCGGTTAGTGTCATTTCTGTTCAATTTGTGTCAGTAGTTTTATTTGCTATTACTATACTTGAGACCTTAGAACTTGTATCTCAAGGTGGGTGGCGCATTTACGTTGTGGATGTCTATGGGCTCCAGTAACCACTTAACATCAGGTGGGCTGTGAGCTAGTCCACCCATCTAAGCAATAAAAAAAAAAAAAAAAATTATTACCTTATTCATAGCTTTGAGGTAAAGTTTCCTCGTTTTAGTCTTTTATATAATATATAATACCGCTGCAATTTGTTTGTGCGATAATATATGTATATTGTGTGTTTAGATTCAATTTCCGACCCGGACTGCTAATTTTCTTGAATTCTTTCTTACTATAATACATTCCAGGATTATCCATTCAATGTCTACACAACTGATGGGACCATCGGCTTTGATTCCGGGTCTTTGATCATCAGTCCGGTGCTTTTGGAGAGTAAATTCAGTGAAGACAAGATTTATCAAGACCTTGATTTAACGAACAGGTTAGATAATTTATTGGATTATTATCACCATCTTGAATATCCTTAGACAGGGTGATAGACGAAACCTATGGTGCAGACATACAGGTCGGTATGACAATGCCATGTGCAAAGAACCCAGAGCTGGTACGAGAATTTCCCTATGATTCCAATGTCCATACATAGCACAGCATGTCCTAAGAAACCATTCCATGTAGAATAAAGTTTAGTTTCAAGTAAAACTGCAAAGATTTTCAGTCCAGAATAGCACCACTTCATGTCTTTCCGTGGTTGACTAAAAACATCATTGAAGAATGAGCAACAACGTTCTTTTAGAATACTCACCAGTGCACGACGATCACCAACCGATATTTACTGGTTGTAGAGCATAAGGAAACCCTACAGGCAGATGCCACTAACACGAGTTGGTACCGTCATCATACTTATTCGAATCTTCGTATAATCACTAAGCACCAGATGGATGTGAACTCGTTCACCGAACTTAGGAATTTGTAGGCAGACGAGCGTACGGCCCACCTGATGGTAAGTGGTTACCGTCGCCCATGGACTTCAGCAATGCCAGGAGCAGAGCCAAGCCGCTGCCTACTGCTTAATACATATGCCACAAGCCTCGTTTGAAGAAGGACATGCTATAATCCATTGACAAACCAGAACATAAAGGAGGTGATATTTCTAGAAAAACATCACTGAGTCCTGTGCTAAAGTACGCTGCAGTCGCAACCAACCTGGTTTATACATCGCCACCCAGCCGCTAACCATGAGCACTCGTGAATCCACCTAACTAAAAACTTGAGAGCGTGTCTGCATCTTCTTATTAATTGTAAGCATTTATATAAATAACAGATGCACTGGCCAGATCGACACAACGGAATGCAAAAGAGTAGCTTCTGGATCACAAATTCTTCCGCCAGTTATGACCGGGAAAGTGACAACTAGACACAAATTCGGCTTCAAATATGGAAGGATTGAGGTTCGAGTTAAGCTACCTGCTGGAAACTGGTTGATTCCTGGTCAGTATACTATAATATGAACATATTGGATCTACTATCAGCAAAAACTCCAAGTGTGTGATTAAGAGGCACATTGTGCTGGTTTCTATTGGTGCAACAACGCCTGGGTTAAAAAACTATAAACAATTTCTGAATTCTCTGAAGAAATACGTACCAAACACAGTCAAGTCCATAACGTATTTTCATAATGAAGGACCAGCATGAAACCCGCTATAGTTGACGATTAGCGTCGTTTCTACTAGTAAGGATTATTGTGAGCCCTAATAGGTACAAGTAAACAGGTACAGGTACAGGTAAACATTTGGTATTTGGGTTTGAAAGGACAACCACTTATAAATTGGTCTATCGAAATTACAGTATACATATAATAATAATAATAATAATGTTTTTATTGCAAGTAACCATGACTCATATAAATTGTTAATAAGACTTAGACCTATGTTAGTAGTTATATTTACATCACAATGAATTACTGTCGTAACATCCCATGGGAGACGACACCACAGCGACCCATGTATACACAGTCCAGCCTGCTTGCGATCATGCTCAGGATACTGTTGGAGCTGGCCCTTACTCTGCTTAGCAGAGATGCTTGACTTTAAGTGAACACCGTGCAAACCTGCGAGCTATCATGTTTGCTCTAACCGACAACGCTCTCCGCTCTCGTTCAATATCTTCATCATCTTTGAGATCAGGGGTCAACACATGGCCGAGATATTTAAATTTATAAACTCTTGTCAATGGCGTTCCGTTAGTACGAGTACTACGTGAGGTATTTTATCATGCGTCCCACCCCTGGTCTCAAAGACCATGATCTCCGACTTTTTACAGTTGTACACCAAACCGTGTGATTTGGCGTATCCCTCACACAAAGAAACAAGTTGCCTTAGGCCACAGATATATATTATGTGTGTATATGATGTTAAGTAGTTACTCCAAGAACTTCTTCTCAGTTATGTCACTTTTGACAGAGTGGTCGTGATCGTCTACATGACATGGGATCATTAAGATCACGATATGGAGGGGCAAACTTAACACGTCTCACGATGCCGTCTTACTTGAGGCCGTCTTACTGAACTGATTTCGGGGAGTTATCTTTATTATTATTTTTTATTTGTTCGGTCCACGTCGTTCTGGCTATCTGTACCTGATCGTTTTCATTCTGTCGTTTGGTCTCCGCCGTATTACTGGCTGCACAGAAGCTATAGTGATGGGATTAGTGTGCATATACCCGGACTATATCTTTATCATTATATCGCGCTTTCGCATATTATTTTTAAAACACAACGAGCTAATTAAAATTGTTCACTATGGTCTAATACCTTTCAGCGGGTTGGTCTTCCAATACGAATACAAAACATAGGTGGTTATTTTATTGGTTATAGGGGTGGATGAGCTCACAGCCCACTTGGTGTTATGTGGTTACTGGAGCCCATAGACATCTACAATATAAATGCCGTCACCCACCTTGAGATATGCGTTCTAAGGTCTCAGTATAACGGCTGCCCCAGACTTCAAACCGAAACGCATTACTGTTTCACGACAGAAATAGGCACGGTAGTGGTAACTACCCGTGCGAACTCACAAGATGTCCTACCACCAGTAATTACGCAAATTATAATTTTGCTGGTTTGTTTTGTAATTTCAGAAGTCAATTTGGAGCCACACGAGAAGATGTACGGCCCGCGCCGCTACGAGTCCGGCTTAATGCGTATCGCCTTCACGAGAGGAAACGCTGTCTTCAGCAAGAAACTGTACGCTGGACCCGTTCTATCCGACACCGAGCCGTTCAGGTCGAAGCTAATGAAAGAGAAACTCGGCATCGAGAACTGGAATAAGGAATATCATAATTATACAATGATTTGGAAGCCTAGTAAGTACCCTGAATAGATATCATCATCATCTCATCTCAGCCGATAGCTGTCCACTGCTGAACATAGGCCTCTCCAATTGATCTCCAACTCGATCCTGTGGACCAAATGGTAAACAGTCGACGTCGCGGATCCTCCCGATCCATTAACGGTGCTTTTATGTACCACAAGCACCGGTCACCGTCCTCGTCGAAGTCGTCGCTTGCGACGGAGGGCTCGGCGAGCGAATTAACCCACAGACACAGCCCACTGAGTTTCTCGCCGGATCTTCTCAGTGGGTCGCGTTTCCGATCCGGTGGTAGATTCTGCGAAGCACTGCTCTTGCTAGGGCCAGTGTTAGCAACACTCCAGTTTGAGCCCCGTGGGCTCACCTACACGTTAGAGCGAAGCTGAAATAGCCTCTCAATGCTATCAGCAAAGAAAATTGACCTCCAGTGCAGCCGGTCTGCGGTCACTTGCTTCCAACATGACCCAGCGACTTTCACTAGGTCGTCGGTCAATCTGGTTAGTAGGTGATGGTAGGTCTGAATAGATTTGTTATTCATCAAAAATGTACGTACTTCAAATTAAAATAAAACCAAAAAAATATAATTCTTTCTACAATAAGTAAGATGGATAGTTCTTTCAATTGTGGTTTTTAGTTTTTTGTCAAGTAACAAAAAATATGCACCTATCTATTTATATTATTATGTATTTTCACTGCTATATGAGGTGCGAGCGTGTAAATAAACAACAAGACATTTGTGACCTCAACGCTCCTATTCATTTTTAAATACAACTTTAACTTTCTATTACTATTACTTACTATTTCAGAAAAGGCTCTCTTTAAAATCGCTAAACTAATCATGTAAACATTTATAAAGATAGCCGGTAAAAATCCGATTATGAGTGATTGAGGCGGTTATGAAAGCAATCATGTTACAAGCTTAGACTCTCCGAATACTATCTATGTCTCTTTCATGTGTCGATTTTTTTTTTCATTTTATACGTATTTGCTCAAGGTTTTTTCTTTAGATTTATGCAAGGTTTTTTTTTTGTAGATGGCATTGAAGTTTTGGTTGATGGAGAACAGTTCGGCGTAGTGGATCCAGGTGAAGGCTTCTATACTGTTGGCCGGCAGAATGCAGTACCTCATGCAGCCCAATGGCTCAAAGGAACAATTATGGCTCCACTGGATCAGATCGTAAGTTTCACATATCGTCTTCTCGCATTAAAACTGTAAAACTTAATAATTTTACAGATGAGTGTTTTAAAGGTTTATCTTGTGATATTTTTACCAGTTAGATTATCTGTCTTTTAAAGTAAGAGAAAATCTATTAAACTTCGCTCGTTTGATAGTATTTATGAGAAAAATACTGGTGATACCGAATGTTTACGCATATTAACTCAATTTCGAATATTTTTGAAAATTGTACACTTTTAATGCGAAAAAAGCGATATACATATGTTATTCTTTTCCCATTCTCAATTATTTTTTTTACGCTACGCTATATGCGCAGGCATTTAACTGGAAAAAGATAAGGCCCACTTCTTAATAAATATAATGAGAGAAATATATTTTTGTTCGAATTTTACTGTTGTCGCTTAGAATGAAGTTTTTCAACCAAAACTATAAGCATTTTCATTTTTTTCGCAGTTCTATATCTCTCTCGGTCTCCGCGTTGGTGGGGTCCACGATTTCACGGATAATCCGGATAAGCCCTGGAAGAATAGGAACAGCAAAGCAATGCTGGCCTTCTGGAACGACAGGACTAACTGGTTGCCGACGTGGTACGATGCGGCCATGAGGGTTGATTACGTCCGAGTTTATGCACTTTAAGATATCAAGATATCACGGTGGTTGACTCTCAAAATGATAAGCAATGAAAAGTGGAATGATCGTGTAATAAGTGACGACTGACTATTAACAAAAACAATTCCGGCTCTAGAGATATTTCGTGATCACGAGAACTTTTAGTGATTAGAAAATCGGAAATTAATAAAACCGAAATTTAGTTGTAGTAGATAAGTAGATATATTGTTAAAGGGCACAAATACAATTTACCAGAGGTAGGATCTCTTGTGAGTGCGCGCGGGTAGGTACCACCACTGCGCCTATTTCTGCCGTGAAGCAGTAATGCGTTTCGGCTTGAAGGGTGGGGCAGCCGCTGTAACTATACTGAGACCTTACAACTTATATCTCAAGGTGGGTGGCACATTTGCGTTGTAAATTTATATGGGCTCCAGTAACCACTTAACACCAGGTTGGCTGTGAGCTCGTCCTAATGTCTAAGCAATAAAATTAAAAAAAAACGGCTCCAGATATTTTGTGATCACGAGAACTTTTAGTGATTAGAACGTCGGAAATTAATAAAACCGAAATTTAGTTGTAGTAGATGAGTAGATAGATATATTGTTAAAGGACATAAGTAGATCCCCACTATCCCCCCTATTTCTGCCGCAAAGTAGCATTGTTCGTAGGGAAGGTCTTTATTCAATTGAGACTTCAACTTCGTGGCTTTAAGATAGTAAATGGCATTCACGTTGATGTCTATGGACGGTAACTACTTAACATTAGATGGTCTGTGAGCTCGGTGACCGACCAGTGTAAGTAAAAAAATTGTGAGATAAACTCTGGTAACGGCTTGTACCAATACCAAGTATTTAATTGCAATGTACCAGTCAATATCGTGAATTTAATTATAAAATTTTATACAAGTGATTACGTGATTTCGTTATAAAATACGAAGAAAAAATGCTTTTTTTATAATAATAATGATAAAATAAATAAACGTTGTAAAAAATTGTGTAGTATTATTCTGTTTACTATTTATCCCATTAAGAATTTTAAGAACTATGTACCAACAGCGAGATATTCTATTATCATATTGTTTCCCTACCTGTCATCTGATAAATAGACAGCTCTCCCGCCCTTTTTATAAGAGGAACTTCAATCATTTTAACAAAATGATAAAATAGGGAAACTAATAAATAATAATCACTTGATCTTCCAAACTTGTGCCTTAAGAGAACTCTCTGGGGCAATTCATCGAATGCGTAAATTTAATTTAGTTCAATTCATCCCTTTGAAAATAAAGGCTTACTGTGAAGAAGCCTTTGTCAAAGCGTCGTAATTCGAAGGAGTACCCCTGCAACATTCTGAGATTATCGGGATTCTTGGTGTCAATATTTCGAACGGTATCCAGTGTCGGAATCATATTGAAGGTAAAGCCAAGTTTAGTTCCAAAATGTTGAGATTCGTCAACAGAACGTATACACGCCTGAACAAATACTCGTGCTTTAGAAAGGCCAGGCTTGACCTCGCATGAATTACCGCTCGCATCATGCTCTGAAACACCAGCTACTTCCATTTGCCTTCATACAGAATGGGCCGTTAAGTTTGTTGAAAGTCCCGTTCATATGAATTATTTCGGGCATCTGGTCAGCTGGCGGGACTTCGCTTCTGTCTGTGTTTTATGCGGTATGCTCTATGGCTATAGGGAGTTTTTCCTATTAGATAATAGCATTATCTCATTTTTATCATGGAATCACCCGTGACCGAAGCAAATTGCATCCATACTATCTGGAGTCACTGGGGTCATCCACAATGCTTTTCCAGATATTATTACCTTTTTTGACACGTACCATCTGTCTTTAAAAATGAATTTCGCATCACGATGTTCCCTGAGCACTACGACATGTCCTTCTTCAATTAGGGTTTAAGAAGTGTATTCAGTGCTGGCAGTGGCTTTGCTGTACCTCTTACTGACATCCATGAGTGATCACTACTTACTATTAAGTAGATTGTTTGATTGCATATAAAAATAAAAAAGATATAACAGGTACATAATATATTTCATATTTCGATGCGAAAGAATGGATGTAAATCATCAATGAAACTATAAAGAACAAACCCGAAAAAATTATCTAAAAGAAATTGGACTAATAGTAATTCCAGACATATGCTTCCAAGAAAGGCAATTTGGAGACACCAACTATCCAATTGTTTTTGTGATTCCGAGCTGACATGTCTCACCATACTCATAAAAGATATAATAAAAGATATAAAAAGAAGAAGACAGATGCGCTTAACAGAATTATCTAGGTAGGCATATTCGTATATTTACTTCTTTTTTTTAAATCTTTTTTTTTATTGCCCTTGTAGGCAGACGAGCATACGGCCCACCTGATGGTGAGTGGTTACCGGACTGTGGACTTCAGCAATGCCAGGGGCAGAGCCAAGCCGCTGCCTACATATCAGCATAAATACTGAGTAACTAAAATATTTAACAACACTTTAAACGAACCCAGTCGATATAAGCTAAAACATTCAATAAACTAGCCGATACCGAGAAACGGGAAAACGAACTGCTTGTTCAATTAATGCGACTTTAAAATTGTTTTCCTAGATGATCTTCAAGAGTTAAATAAAGCGTCGTTCATATCGGACATAATTTTAGGTATAATATAGTAGTATATTAGTTCAAACTACACAGAAAAGATAGTAATGAATATATTAAATATCTTCTTCTTTTTTTCTTTTACTTTTTTTATTGCTTAGATGAGTGGACGAGCTCATAGCCCACCTGGTGTTGAGTGGTTACTGGAGCCCATAGACATCTATAACGTAAATGCGCCACCCACCTTGATATAAGTTCTAAGTTCTTAGTAAAGTTACAGCGGCTGCCCCACCCTTGAAACCGAAACGCATAACTGCTTCACGGCAAAAATAGGCGGGGTGGTGGTACCTACCCGTGTAGACTCACAAGAGGTCCTACCACCAGTAAAAAGTTTTTGTCCTTATCCCACATTATTGAGATTGACTGACGTTATCCTCGGGGTATATATCTATATATCCCTAGCAACGTACCATAGGGAAGGAATTTTCACTCTCAATACTTCAGTCCATGTTACTATCCACACAGCCGAGGATAGGCAGGAATGGCGCAGGATAATACAGAAGAAAGTTGTTAGAGGAGGCCACGACCCTCAGCATTGAGGATTATCGACGCAAGGAGGATTTTACTGTTTTTTTACTTCATCCGGTTTTTGTTCCAAATTCAGAATTTCAAATATGTTTTAAATAGATAATATATCACATTTTATTAATTTTTTTGAATTATTAAAAATCAAAGTATCAAATTTTCAACGAATGCGTGCTAATAATGATAGGTCTTGCATGCCTATTACCATCTTGCCTATTTTTGTTTCATTCTTTGCACTCGAATAGGCAGACGGGTTGACGATCTACCTGGTTCTAGGTGATTATCACGACGCTTACTGGCGAAGTTAAATTATAAAAAGGTTTTCGAATCCTTCAAATTTGAAAGCTCAGATTTAAATTGCAGGCCAATCAAATTTCTTTGCCAAACGAGAAACTGAGAAAGGAATAACTCTTTTTTGGTTCGAGAGTAGTCCTAGTTTACTAGTTACTACTAGTAGTCATAAACATTTGCGAAATAGGTACTATAAAGCGAAGTTCATTCCAGAATCAAATGGTACGTGGAAAAAATTATATCCTAAGGCCCAGTATGTGAAGGTAGCGGTTCCAATCGGAATGAACGATAGTGACATGGACATGACGGATCATCTCAAACAATTCTTTAGAGCATTCACTACAACTATATTCCAATCACAATACGGGATTTCCCAAAATTAAAACAGCAATCATTTGAAAGTGGATATCGTCAAAGTCGCAATCAATTAGTACCGTTGTGTGAAATCGGTCTAAAGTAAAAAAAAAACAGTACAATAATTACGTAAAGATAAACTTATCGAGTCCGGCACACGGAGAATAGATAATACGCTAGCACACAACAGACGAAGACCGCAAATCGGCCAGTGCGGTCGGGTACGTCGCGTTCCTAACATATTATTCGCACGTAAACATTTTACATGTTGTGTTCAATCAAACCTACCGAACCAAATAGGTAAGATACGTGATGCTTTGTAGATTTTTACTGGTGGAAGGACCTTTTGTGAGTGCGCACGGGTAAGTACCACCGCCCTGCCTATTTCTGCCGTGAAGCAGCAATGCGTTTCGGTTTGAAGGGTGGGGCAGCCGTTGTAGCTGAGTGAGACCTTAGAACGTATATCTCAAGGTGGGTGGCGCATTTACATTGTCGATGTATATGGGCTCCAGTAACCATTTAAAACAAGGTGGGCTGTGAGCTCGACAACCCATCTAACCAATAAATAAAAAAAGATCGATTCTGTTTGAGACACAATAAAATTTTCACACAGTCACATGGCTTCGACGAGTTCACAAACGTCTCCCAGAGGTAAATAATCAATACTAATATATAAATCTACAGTGGTTTTTACGGATGTTCCTTTATAACTACTGAACCATGCATCCAATTGATTTGAAACTTGGTATCCATGTAGAAAATATATGTACTTAATGGATAGGCTAATATTTATATGAGTGTTGGACTCCCTACACCAGTTGCGAGGGCGTTAATGATGAGAATCTTTGTGGGGGTGAGAAATAATAATGTTAATTTTAAATGCCCAGCGAAGCGGACGGGTACAGCTAGTGAATTCATAATAATATAATAAGAGTTATAATTTTCATGGTCATTGACGAAAAGCCGAAGAAATCAAGTACAACATACAAACCCTAGAACCGAAGAAAAAACTGATAATATTCAATTTAAGCCCGAAAAATAATAATTAGATCCGATCGTATAGAAGTTGGTGTAAAATCAAAAACATTAAGTTTAGTTGATTTTTTTTGTTATTGTGATTCTTTCGTAAAGCATAAATATATCTTTTAAATTAGATTTAACGTTACAGCGTTACATCGGCTATCAGTCTTCGTGACCGTGAAAATTGCTGAGAATTCGAAACGCCGGATAAAGATGAACCGGTTTTTCGACTGCTTCAATTTAATTATTTATTTCAGAACACAACATCCGTAACGAGAATGTACAAAACATGTGTGTGGGTCTTGTTATTAAAAATCGTGCTGTGCTACGAGGCACCACCGGCCACGCTCGAAGCAATACACCCTAAAGGACTTAGGGTTTCCGTTCCAGGTAAGTGTGATGCATTTCAAGAACAAACAATCTTATCCAACCATTAATCATAAGAGTCACCTATGCGGCTACGGCTTCTCGAAACTACTACCACAACCAGCCTTTATCCATTCATCACTGCAGCCCCCTCAATTCAATTCCTACCTCACCATCTCATTCCTGATGCCCTAGCTTCTTATTAAGCACCAGTGGCATCCGCACAATTCTCGACACCGAAGTTCACGATGCTCTACAGTCGGCGGCATATAGAAGCAAATGGCATGGAATGCTCCGGAATAGACTTGTTTCGAGGAGGTGGTCACGACCCTTAGTGTTGAGGAAACCGAAGCGAAAAGAAGGCATCCGTCTCCTGCCTATATCTGCTACAAAACAACCACACGTTCAGAATTAAAGGATCGATTGATGTCTTAGAACGTGCTTGAAATTTTGAACTAACATCTCAAATAAGCTATCATCATTTACTGAAAGACCCCAGTCGCCAATTAATATAAGATTGAACGTGAACTCATTCATATAAGGCACATACAGCAGCTATAATACAAGATTGTTAATTTTAATGCTTTGATTAACGCCATTGAACTATCATGTAAATTTTTTGTTAAACAAATTTGACCATTAGGAAATTTATATGATTCCCCATTTATTTATTACTAGCTGACCTGGCAGACTTCATACTGCCTCAATCGATAAATAAAATACCTAAACTTTTGTATAAAATAAACTTAAAACAAACAAAAGGAATCCGTCTGACGGAAGACACATCAAAGGAAAAAAATATATTAATAAACAAATATTAAATATTTATCTACCTTTTAAACCTTCTCTGGACTTCCACGAATAATTCAAAACCAAAATTAGCCAAATCGGTCCAGCCGTTCTCGAGTTTTAGCAAGACTAACGAACAGCAATTCATTTTTTATCTATATAGATTGGGTAAAGCAAGTAGGAAAGGGAGTTTAAGGAAGCAGTTGTCGAACCCAATACGGTAATATCATTTAAACTTAAAACGTAAGTCAAATGTGTCATAGTCTAAGATTCGCGAAATCCAAAGAAAATATATTATACTTATAATATTATTTGCCGACATTCGCTGTGTATTGATGATACTTCCAAAATTTAAGATCCGGTGAAACCAATTTATAATATATTCTCCAATTCATTTCTTAAATATACGTATACAAAAACATTAAATAATAAGGATAAGGAAATTACTGCTGTGATGGAACTCTAATAAATTATAAATTATTCATCGCTTCCTTAACAATTGTTGAAGCGTAGTCATTGGAATTTGATTGTGTTCATAAATTTTGAAGCCTCCACTTAATATATATGTACTGTATAATAGGTAGGTGGTTCATTTATTAGATACATTGTTTGTTTTGTTAAATTTTCGTCATTATCATTGTATCATTTATTTTTATTCATTCGCTAAATTTGAAGACGACATTGACAGCCTCATTAGATTAGTTTTTTTCCTAACAAAAAAGTTTGACTAAAGAAATAGTGCCGTGTAATTTACTGGTAATAAATACTGTTTAACCGTAAAGCATTAATGCTTTACGATTTGAAAGGACAGGAGCGATATAAATTCAATTCGAGAAATTCAAGAGACATCGAATTTCATGGGTTAAGATGGACGTTAGCTTTCGCGTAGTGAAAACTGTGAGAGCCACTTAGTAGCAGGCGCACAGTGAGCTCATAATATATCCGTATAAGAAATAAACTAGTGGTAGGACCTCTTGTGAGTCCGCACAGGTAGGTAGGTACCACCAACCTGCCTATTTTAGCCATGAAGCAGTAATTCGTTTCGGTTTGAAGGGCGGGGCAGCCGTTGTAACTATACTGAGATCTTAGAACTTATATCACGGGGTGGGTGGCGCATTTACGTTGTAGATGTCTGTGGGCTCCAGTAACTGCTAAGCACCAGGTGGGCTGTGAGCTCGTCCACCCATCTAAGAATTAAAAAAAAAATCAACGATACTAATCTATAGTCGAGATAATAACATGTCAGCGCAGAATCAAACGACAAAAGAACAAATTCATAATTAATTGCGTAACATAACTTCGCTAGGTTAAATTAGGAATTATTAGCACACACCGGATATTTGAGTTCATAGTTCACTAGGTTTAAAATCGAGAATTCCATAGGTAACGTAATATTATATGTATGAAAATACATAAAATGCTAATATTGAAACTTATACGTTTGATGTTCGTGCTACTGAATCACGCATCACGCAAAAATGGCGGAAAGTAAAAGAATCGAATTTCGCACAAAGTTCGTTAACACATTCACTGCCGTGTAGGTCACCGGTGCCCTACGCGGCGCACTGAAGCAAGCTTTGCCTTCTTTTGTTTTTAATGTATGTTATAATATTTTAGATCTCTAGAAACAGATTCAGTCTCAGTGTCTTCGGATTCGTCTTTGCCAGAGTCAACCAGATATTCCGGTATCTTAGTAAGAAGATCGAAGGAGAAATCGACATAATGACTTCAGTGCGCCACGTAGGGCACCGGTGACCTACATGGCAGTCAACGTGTCAATAAATAGAATACTTTTTATCGGCAATACCGAATATATTTGGTATACAAATATTTATTATACCGGTTTGCTTGCTCGTGATATTACGCACCAATAGAACTGCAAATCGCACGGCAGTTCAGGCACAACAATGTTAAACAAGAAACTCTTTGCCCGGGGAAAATTTAACGTGTTCCATTCTTTATGAATTCGAAATTTAGCTAGGGATAAAACCGCGAGGCACTTCCAATTAATTAATGATTCAGAGAGAAACGTAGCGTTGAACGCTTGCTCGATATCAACTTGAGTAATTAAGAAAACAAAATTGCTGTAATAATATCAAATCGATTTTGAGTGTACCGCTCTTAGTTTAAACGTGTTAGTTTATTTCAATAATAATTCTTAGAAACGATTTTTTTTGTCATACAAAAACCGCGAAAAGCTATTATGACGTGTGATCACGATAGGATGTTACCGAAGCGTGTTGGTTAAAAACCTGATTTAAATGAAAAAACTTAAGATTATTTAGTATAGTATCTTATAGTATAGTATAAATAGATTGTGACATGCGAATTAATAATATTATCGCTCTTTTTGCCTTGATTATACATATCATCACTGTTTTTTTGTTTTTTTTTTGTTTGAGAGATTACTGGGGGGATTACCCGGAGGCCTTTCCAGTTTTGCTAGGGTTCATCACTGTAATATTTCAAGATAGAAAACAATGGAAAATGCTAGAGGACGCTTATGCCAATCGACACGCTGTATTGAGAGACATTCTGTTAAATAAACAAATATTAAATCATCAGTCCTAAGAGCTTAGAATAAAGGGCTCATTGACTATGCCTCGCAATTCAGAACTTGGCAGTTCGAGATTGGACCCGTTTTATTATATTTTTCCTCTTTCCTCCCCCATTTGCTTTCTTTGTCTTCCACTTTGCCGGTAATCACCAGTTTTTCAAGATCGTCTCTGTTTTTCCTGGTAATGTATCCGAAGTATTGTATCATTCGGTTGGGACAAATGCTAGAAAGCCTTGTATTAATTACTCCATTTAATAGTCTACATTTAACTACTTGGAATTGAAAATATATGAAATAATGTATATGTAAAACTGATATTGTAACCCATGTTTTTTGGAGTTTACTCCTTTAGAATCGATTTACATATATAGGCCCGGGGTATGAAAATGATGGGGACCAAAATCGTACTAGCATGTCACACGAAATGCGTTATGCGTTACGCGGCCGCGTTATTGCAGGTGACGCCGGGCTGCTGCGCCGGCAGTCCGCCACAAAGCCTCGTACTGATCGCGCGTTTCTCTCATTATTGTATTTTCATATATTTGTTAGTCGTTTGTTTTGTGTCTCGTTAATTTTTGTTAATAATCTGTAGTGTATCGTGTTGTCGTAATATAGAACTATTTCTCGTATTGTTTCGTTTAATTTTTTATATCCAGTAAACTCCAGTCGTGCGTCGGAGCGGACACACACACTTTTTTTTTATTGCCCTTGTAGGCAGACGAGCATACGGCCCACATGATGGTGAGTGGTTACCGTCGCCTATGGACTTCAGCAATGCCAGGGGCAGAGCCAAGCCGCTGCCTACCGCTCAAGGTGTACATAAAATACTGGTGTACATAAAAACCACTGTCAATTTGTTTGCCTGTCTGTCCATTTACAAATTATATAAAAATTTCGTTTTGGAGAGGATACGATGTCATGATAGTCACGGAATCGTTGAGAAAATTATTTCCTATTCATCTAATATCGTTTTTTTTCTTTATTTTTTAATTAGTTACAACTTTCAGATGAGGGCTTCTCGTTATTCGCGTTTCACGGTAAGCTCAACGAGGAAATGGAAGGCTTAGAGGCCGGCCATTGGTCCAGGGACATCACGAAGCCAAAAAACGGAAGATGGATATTCAGAGATCGAAATGCTGCGCTGAAAATCGGAGATAAGATTTACTTTTGGACTTTTGTCATAAAGGACGGCTTAGGATACAGACAGGATAACGGGGAGTGGACAGTTGAAGGTGAGAATCGTCGATTATAGCACCTTACACAAATAAATATAGTCGAAGGATATTCTCCATGCTTCGTTTTGACTTCAACTAGGTATAGTTACTTGTGGTAGCTATGCGCGTTTTAAGACCGCGCGGTTATATACCAAACTTTTTATATTTTATTAGGTACTTGTGGTAGGACATTTACTGATAGAACGTCTTGCGAGTCCGCACGTGTAGGTACCACCACCCTGCCTATTTCTGCCGTGAAGCAGTAATGCGTTTCGGTTTCAAGGGTGGGGCAGTCGTTATAATGTAAAAACTGAGACCTTACAACTATATCTCAAGGTAGATGGCGGCATTTACGTTGTAGATGTCTATGGGCTCCAGTAACTAATTCACACCAGATGGGCCTTGGGTTCGTCCACCCTTTTAAGCAATAAATAAATAAACAAGTATACGGATACCTTCCGTCCTACTTACTATTCTCGTCAAGCAGCCATCGCCTTTGGTTTGACAGTTGACAGCCGATACACAACGTACTGTCATTGTCGTTGTCATGTCTTAGCCTTTTTTATTGAACCTTAAGCGGGTGGAAGAGCTCACAGCTGACCTGGTGTTAAGCGGTTATCGGAGCCCATGGGCATTAACAACGTAAATGCCACTGCCCGCTGCAAGGCGAAACGCGCTACTGCTTCACGGCAGACACAGGTGGTTGTACCTACCTGAGTGGGATCACAAGACGCCCTACCACGTTTAATTACGCCATTTACCATTATCAACGGTTCCCAGTTCCAGTCCAGATTATTAAAGTTATATGTATTCGCGACATAGCTTCAAAGAAAGAACTTGTCTTAAGTCAAGAATCAGTGAAGACATTTCTACCATTTAAAATATCAAATATACAAAATAAACAAAGTCAAAGCCTACGCGCAATATCTTTGGTGAATCGAGACGAATATTAACATAATCAACACAGCGGGGTCAGCTGAGATCATCAGTGTAATTAAGTAAAATAAATATTTATCTCTAACCATACGATTGTTCATAATTTGATAGCACTAACGATTTATGTAACATTAATACGCATATAAGATGATGCATATAGTAACCAGAGAATGATAGGTTGTTCCTTGCATGCAACTTGTTCTATTCCAGTTCCTGTGACCATTCTATACAAACAAAACTGTGCACCTTTAGCTACAAGGGAAGTTCACAGAGGCTTACAGAATCCCTATTTTATAAATTTAAATAATAAGTTATACCTATGAAGTTGCTGTTTCACAATGTTCTGGCCATTTGATATTAATTTATGTCTGGCAATAACTTAAAAGTTCAAATGAATTTTATTTTAAAAATATGGAATTCTCTTTTAAATTACATTAATTAATTATTGATTACTGTTTTGTTGTCGCTACATTTGTAGGGTTTTGGATGGGATGAACTATCGTGCTGGTAGCGCACGCATGAACGTATTATGGTATGCCTTGCGTTGCCTAACAAACTTTTAATCAATATGCGAACTTGCAATGAATAATTGACTCTTTTTGATAATTGTGTGTGTGATGATTGTGTGTTCAGCAGCTAGGCAATGCTCCAAACAAAAACTTACTCCTAAAAATTCATGGTCATTGTATAGAGGATCATCAAAGTAAGTAGCTACAAATGGCATCAGCTTTACTCCGAGAAGCTCACGTATCTTCGGCTGGCCTTGTTTAATCGCTCGTCCTCGCTGCTCCTACAGGACAGTGCTCGATCTTATACAGCACAACAGACGGTCTCTAAGTAATAAATGCTCGGGAGTTTTGTGTCATCCACTGTGCTCACCAGATCTAACAGCAACAGTAACAACCTACTTCTACTTGTAAAATGAATAAAAAATATATATATAATAAAAAAAATTATTGCCATTGTAGGCAGACGAGCATATGGCCCACCTGGTGGTGAGTGGTTACCGTCGCCCATGGACTTCAGCAATGCCAGGGGCAGAGCCAAGCCGCTGCCTACCGCTACGTATTTAAAAAATCCCTTTAGCTTTAAACCCCAACATTATAGGTAAATACTTAATATTAAAAAGTGGCTTTTAATAAAAAGGCTATATACAAAATTTGTTTTCAATTAGGTTTCGTAGATGAAGCCGGTAATCCAGTAAACACAGAGGGCTCTGAAATAACACCAGGAGTAGAATTCACCAGCACCAGTCTGAACCCAGAGTCCCCTCAGTCTATACCCAATCAGCCTCCAGACAGCCTGCCCGCTAAACCACCATCTGAAGGCTATCCCTGTGAGCTATCGCTATCCACAGTCTCAGTACCTGGTTTTGTATGCAAAGGGCAGCTGCTTTTCGAAGATCAGTTCAATATACCAATACACAAAGGGAAAATTTGGGTACCAGAAGTAAAGTTCCCTGGTGAACCGGTAAGTAAAAACACCAATGCCTCATAGACCACACTAACTTTTCTAAGTATTGATACAAATAAATAAAACCAGGAACGGCTGTAGCTAAAATATTTTTGGAGGTCCGTATACGAGTATATTTTTAAAAAATGCTAGCTTGTGTTAGTCTCAGAAGGGTAGATTTCAAAATTATTTTAAAGGCTCTAGAAGGTCTGAAGAGATGAGCTGGTTCACCAACAAGTGATTACCGGATTCGGGCATCACAATGTTGTCAATAATTTGAGATATGAGGTCAAATTCTCTATTGTATTGGAACCTATCTGCTCCTCGACAAATATGTTGAGGTTTAATAATAGCTTTTTATTGAGGAAGGTCTTACAAAATTCTCAGTAACGAAACAGTGAAATTAAAGACTTTTGTTACTTAGATATGTATACTGGAGCTCATAGACATGACTAAGTGAATGCTACATAGCCTGGAGTCAACAGTTCAAGTACCAATTGCATTCTATAACGGCTGATATCTCATACCGAAACGTTGGACTGCTTCGCTGCAGAAATAGACCACTAGTAATTTATGAAGGTATCGTCACGATATCACAATGTCTTAATGACGAAGCTCTTTATCTCTTATTACTCTTTAACAGGATTTTCCCTTCAATGTATACCTAAGCGATAATGCAGAAGTCAACGACGGAAAGCTGATTATAAAACCAGCTACCTTGGAGTCAAAGTATGGCGAAGATTTTGTTCGACAATCTTTGGATCTGTCGGAAAGGTAAATGTCATTATTGGAGGTCTTATGACCAGAAAAAGAATTGCGCTCAGTTCACACAAACGTATTTTATGTATCCTATCCGGGTATTCTTAAACTTATACTTTTGCCTTTCCTTTACTGATGTGCTTAATGGAGAAAAGTGAGAACGTGTGAATTAGTTGTACATTAAACTATCCATTTCTTTCACTACCAGACAACTAGGAAACAAAAATATGACTACAACAAATATGAATTAATGATTACATTAAAATATGAATTAAATAATTTCGCTAAATACGATAAGTCCTAAACAATAAAATAGCATCTACCTACATTTATATTCGTAGTGCCTCAATCGATAAATAAAATACCTAAACTTTTGTATAAAATAAACTTAAAACAAACAAAAGGAATCCGTCCGACAGGACACACAGAAAAAACAAAATTGTTATTTTTATTTCATTCCGGGCATTTTCATATATATCTATCTACCTTTTAAACCTTCTCTGGACTTCCACAAATAACCAACCAAAATTAGCCAAATCGGTCTAGCCGTTGTCGAGTTTTAGCGAGACTAACGAACAACATTTCATTTTTATATATATAGATTAATTTGCTGAACTACCTTTGTAGGTCCTAATGGGTTTAACAATTTCACATCTATACATATTAAAAATCAGTAATCCATTCTTACCTTTCAACCATACGAATCCTAATCGCTATCAATTGTTTTTTTATTTATTTATTTTTTATTGGCATGAGTTCTAAGTTCTCAGTATAGTAACAACGGCTGTCCCACCCTTCAAACCGAAACGCATTACTGTTTCCCTGCAGAAATAGGCAGAGTGGTGGTACCTACCCGTGCGGACTCACAAGACGACCAGTAAAAATCGGTATCGATACCGATTGTATTATATGGTATTTTAATGTTGGCAGTTAATTTTGAAATACCTGTGAGATTAAACCGCTGCTTAATACTAAATGAGTAATGCAAGATTACTTTCAGATGCACTGGAACCGTAGGAACACCTCAATGCTTGCGAGAAGCTTCTGGTCCTCTTATTTTGCCACCCATCATAACTGCAAAAATCAGCACTCGGCATCAATTTGCCTTCAAATATGGACGTGTCGAGATCAGAGCTAAAATGCCAAAAGGAGATTGGCTTTATCCTGGTAAAAATATTCAATGCGTGACATAATGGACTAGGCGTTCGGCGCCCGGTTTTCAATCGAATATAAGCCTAGTAAATGCTAGCTTGACAATTCTTTTGAATTTTCAGAGATATTGCTCGAACCTCGTGATAATATATATGGTGTCCGGAACTACGCTTCGGGGACATTAAAAATCGCCTGCGTCAAAGGAAACGCTGAATTTTCAAAGAAACTCTACGCAGGTCCTATAATGGCTGGATCTGATCCTTATAAGTACACTAATTAATGTATCTTGTATCTTATTTCTATCTGATCGAGATCTCTGTGTCATGTCTATGTACTATGTCTATTAACACCTTCACTACGGAACAAGCCCATATCGGCCCACCGCGGTACTTTCAAACTGGTGTGAACGAAGAAAACTATATACCTCTCGCTGCTGCGGAACGATAATTTAAGATGTTTTAGATTTTTTACTGGTTGTAGGACCTCTTGTTAGTCCGCACGGGTAGGTACCACCAACCTGCCCATTTCTGCCGTAAAGCAGTAATGCGTTTCGGTTTGAAGGGTGGGGCAGCTTTTGTAACTATACTGAGACCTTAGAACTTATATCTCAAGGTGGGTGGCACATTTACGTTGTAGATATCTATGGGCTCCAGTAACCACTTAACACCAGGTGGGCTGTGAGCTCGTCCACCCATCAAAGCAATAAAATAAAAAAGATGTTTGCAAGAATTCGACACCGACAACCACGAGTATATACTATAAATTGTATACAGTATGTTTTCGCAAAAGTTCTAGCATTTTAATCTATCCTAGTGCTGGTAGGTAGGTAGTAGGACGAGCCACCACAGGTGGAAATATCGTTGGGGGCGCATTTCGACCCGCCGCCTTACCAGATGAAGGTTTACAATTTTATTTGCCGCAGCCAAGGTAACATTACCTGTGCCATAAGTTTTGGTAAGATGTGTCCACCGAGAATTATTTTCAAAATGCAGTCACAGAAATGTGTGAAATGGTATAAATTTTAAATTGTGAAATTTTACTAGGACCTATACTGACTCTTTATACCAATGTTTTGCTGTGGGCAAAATTCTGCAAGCAACCTCAATCCACGGTATAAGAGAAAAGAGACAAATAATCCAATTGTTACCTCATTAACCATATTATGACGTGGTATCAAGAAGTAAATTTACATTAAAACATATTTCAGATCTTTTTATCTTAAAGAAAACATTGGATATGAATCATGGAATAACGATTTCCACAACTACACCCTAGAGTGGAGACCAGGTAAGCTTGAAATACATAATCAGATACTTAAGGTGCTGTGCAATTTCAAGCTGACACGAGCTTTGTAAACGGCTCACTGACCTTGACGTAAAGTTGAAAATAGCATTGTCATAGCGTGAAGCTAGTAGCAAAGCGTCATGTGAGCCCGCACGAGTGGGTACCACTACCCTGCCTATTTCTGCCGTGAAGCAATAATGCATTTCGGTTTGAAGGTTGGGGCAACCGTTATACTGTAGAAACTGAGACTTGGAACTAATTTCCCAAGATGGGCGGCGATGTCTATATGCTCCGATGACCATTTAAGACCGGATGAGCCGTGAACTGGTCCACCCACATTGACAATAAATAAAAAACATGTATTTTGACCTCTAAAGTCCAAGTTCGTTTGATTCGAATTTGTTCAAATAGTTTTTGAAGTAATTGAAATCTATAAAACGAATAACAAAAATAAATTAAATTTTAAAATCTTGAAAATCTATCCAAAAACTCTCTATCATTTAATGCGAGGTTTGCGTACCTTGAAGCCTTAGTTGATTAAGTTTGAATTAAGCAATACAAATTCAAAGTAATTCAAAGTAGAAGTCTACTTTAAATTGAGATTAAATTTAGAAAAATTGAAATACCTACACTGTCCGTGTGAAATTGTTTAGTTTACATTAATAATTATTCATTTTATTTCAACCGATAGTTTTTCTTTTTGGCATGGCTACAATGGGCGTAGTAGCCTAAAGCAATTTCGTTTTATTAAAACTAGATGATGACCGTGCTTTGCTCGGTTTTTTTTTATAACGCCATCTGGTTTGTCTTTAAAGCGGTTAGTTGCCCTCAATTAAGAAAAATAGCATTATTATTCGCCAATAGATGTCGGGAAGAGTTGATTATTGAAAACACGAATAAAACAACATTTTCTGAAAATAAATCGTAGCTAGATCGATTTATCGCCCCCGAAATCCCCTGTATACTAAATTTTAAGAAAACCGTTGGAGCCGTTTCCGAGATTCAGATTATATATATTATAATATACAAAAATTTCTCGTTTAAAGGTATAAGATATATGTATATATAACAAGGCCATAACAAAAAATATTTTATATCTTCAAATTATCATTTTACATTTTCTAATGTTTTTTATCGTCAACAGATGGCATTACGTTGTTAGTTGATGGAGAAAGTTATGGCGAGATAAAACCAGGAGAAGGTTTTTACAACGTGGCCAACTCATATAAAGTTGAAGCAGCGCCGCAGTGGCTTAAAGGCACAATCATGGCGCCTTTTGATGAATTGGTCAGTATTTCACTTCTATGAAACGTCCCCTGTGGTATTAACAATGATATTATAGTCACGCACAGGCGTTTTATTCAAAATCAGCTTCTATAAGCTGATTTTAGACGTTGACTGTTTACCATCAGGTTGGTCACATGGCTCTCTGCGTTCACAGGAAATAATAAAAACAAAGATAACTTAGATATCCTGTCTTTAAATGGGCAACTCACATTCCAGCAAGTTCTAATAAATAAGTTACACGGTGTGGGTAGAAGGCTCATCAAAAATTGGTTATCTATTGTTACGCGCTGGGGTTCGGAATAAATAAAATTTTTACCGAAGTACAAATTAACACTGTATTAACACTTAGAACACTAACAGAACACTTTAAAATTCTTAATTCAATTCTTCCGCTTCGCTTCAGGTGATCCGTTCGCTATTTTGCTTCGAGTAGTTCTGATCACTAACGCCTTCGTGCCATCTCTGCAACGCTTTTATAGTCGATACTAAATCCCTAGAACTTTCAAAAACATTCTGGGCAAATCGAGTAGCTTCTATGTGTTTGCGCTATTTGACAATAGATGGCGTTGTACTTCTCGAGCGTTCTCGTTCGTTTCCGTTATTCGACAATAGATGGCGATACTCTTATGGGCATAAAACCATACGTCGCCTTTACAGATAACCATTTCTATAGAGTAGGAGTGAGTCTCTCTATCTATAGAAAAAATATGCATATTTAAATTAACTTTTAGTAAAAAAATTGCAGTTCTATGTGTCGATCGGTCTTAATGTGGCTGGAATCCGAGAGTTCTCCGAAGACATCTCCAATAAGCCTTGGAAAAACTCTGCCACTAAAGCAATGCTCAAATTCTGGGACGCCCGTAGTCAGTGGTTCCCTACGTGGGATGAAGATAGCGCTCTTCAGGTGGACTATGTTAAAGTTTTTGCGATATGAGGTAAGCTAATACTTTCTAGTGTCTTATAGTTGGTTGTTAGTGGTAATATCAGCTACCTATTTCGATGGTAAAAATGAGATTACTGATGGGAAGGTACCATCCTGCTTCTGCTCCCAAGCAATCATAAGTCCTGAACTGTTGACCAGCATTGTACATTAAAACTGTAAGTTCGATTTTAAGCCCCAATGTTCGTAGCTTCGTATCTTAGTATGAATTAGCGGCTCTCCTGGTGTTAAGTGGCAACCGGAGCCCATAGACATCAACAACACAAATGCCGCAATCCACCTCAGCAGAGGGTAATAGGAAAGAAAGAAGACGAAGAAGACATCTTTGTAATTATCCCTCATAAAATTGTATTTTCTTTGTCACAGATGCTACATCAGAGAACATAGTGGGGATTATAATAATTAACAACGTACCTACTGAATGCAAAATTCGGATCCGATATAGCGCTATCTCACTTCAAGTCATTTGCCTGCCTTATTTGATAATAAAAACCAATTTTTACCTCCAATGTATTATTTTATTTCATTACTACATTACTTACTACAATACTTATTGCTTACGATCTATATTTTTACTTTTTTGGGAACATTTAGTTGCTTACTATATATATTTTTTTTATAATCCCAAAGCGAATATTTGTTCATGTCCTTTAGTGTAGTAAGTATGCATGGTATACGGTACTTATAGATTGGGCGAATCCAATTTTTTTTTAATATAAGTATTTTATTTATTGCATAGACGTGTGGACGAGCTCACAGCCAGTCTGGTGTTAATTGGTTACCGGATTCCATCGACATCTACAACGTAAATGCCGCCACCCAACTGTTACAACGGCTGCCCCACCCTTCAAACAGAAACGCATTACGCTGCTTCACGGCAAAAATTGGCAGAGCGGTGACAGAAAAGGGTCTTCTTTCGTGCACGGGTCTGATAATTAACTCACGGCTCGTAAATTGTTAAGTAGTTACGGAGACTATGGACGGACATCACACCGTACATACCCCGCCCACCTCACAACCTGATCGAAAAGTCGTAATTGGGTTGTACAATTGTTGTCCCTACCAACAAACCAGAAAGCGTTTACTCCCTTTTTTATTGCCCTAGTAGACATACCAGCGTCCGGCCTACCTAATGGTGAGTGGTTACCGTCGCCCATGGACTTCAGCAATACCAGGGGCAGAGCCAAGCCGCTACCTACCGTTCCTACTGCTCGCATCAAAGCCATGAGCCATTTACTACTTTGTCAAAACCTTTCTTAATTTATATTTCGTTGAACATCAACGATCACGTGTGACGTTCTAGGTAAAATATAAAAATATTCTTGACGAACGAGATATTCGCGCGTTACGCGTTTTTTTTTTTTTATAAATAATATTTGTTCCAGTCTTTAATTTTTAGGAACGTTCATACGTGCCGATTTAGACTCAACAATTTCATGGAATATCTAAAATAAATTTGATATGAAACGCTTTATTAGATATCGGATGCTATGATGGGTGATGTCTATGATAGGAATTGAAATAAATGAACAGATCGTAGCCGTTAGAACTAAATACACCTTATTGGTGGAAATAGCTGCAAGAAACCTTAATCTACACTCAGCATAGATTAAACTTGAAGAAGACAGAAATCTCGCAATATCACAAATTAGGTATCGCATTCTATCTTTTACATTTTCATTCGGTGCATCCTATCCTTTAATCTAAGCTTTCGTCTTGTGAACAGATCAAAAGGCAGGATATTTCAAAAAAAACCTACTACGAAGTTTTGATGCTATGATTTAACTTGGGTGAGTATTTGTATTTTGCTACAACATATTGCCTAATGATGTAACCAGATTGATTTGATTTTTCTTACATTAATTGCCAATTAACAATTTACGTCAAAACAATACGAGCTTGCTTGAGACGTATTCATAAAAGAAGTATCGGTAGCGTGGCGGCATCGTTACGGACACTGGAGATATGAGTGTCATTTAATTTTAATTTCAGCCACGTTCCGTCTTACTATCTTTATTTTCGTCTCACGCGTGTAGGAGTTGAATTACTCTCTCTATAACTACTACATATCTTATATTCACACTGATCATTTATTTCTGAGAATTAGCAGTGGTCATTTCGTTTCTGAACTCTTCACGTGATTATTTCTAATCTCAATTCTGCTCCCTTTTTTGATGTGACACATCTATAGGCGCACGTAAAAGCGATTACAGTTTTTTTTTTTTTTTCTATCTAAGCTGATGGACTAAAGAGACCGTGTCAGCGTCGCCGGGTTAGTAGGTGAGCTCACAGGGCTCAAACCTGACGACGTTGCTAACACGAACCCTAGCAAGAGCCGCGAACCTAGCAAGAGCCGTTCTTCGCAGAATCTACCACCGGATCGGAAACGCGACCCACTGAAAAGACTCGGCGAGAAACTCAGTGGGCTCGATTACAATCTATATCTATTAGCGTGTACGATGTGGCGACGCGTAGCCATACACAAACGGGATTTCCTTAATATATATATTTTTTTTTTTTTTTTTTTTTAATATTAGTTTTAAGCAAACATGATTGATGTTTCAAATGGTTTAAATAATTACACAAACGTGAGAGTACCACTCCATCCTTGTTCTTAAACTGGCTATTGATTATGATGGAAGGTGAATCAAATGGACTGCATGCAATATCCAATACCGTTCTGCTTATTTCTGCAGCAAAGCAGTCATGGGTTTCGGTTTGAATACTCGGGAAGTCGTGGTGAAATATAAATGAATCTTCATCTTCGCGTCTGGAAGTGTATGGTGGCATTTATGTTGTGATATTTGCACTGACCGTTTAATATCAAGTGTGATCTGTGTGCTTAGTGCGAGTTTCTTAACGTTCTCGATAGCGTAAAAGTTAGCTCATATTCGTATGGAATGGGATCGTTTGCGTACGTTTGCCGCTAGAGGCGCTGTTCCAACTGCATACAAAATTGGGTTAACTTTTACGCTATCGAGAACGTTAAGAAACTCGCACTAAGCACACAGAGCTCTTCTACCGATCTACAGCAATACCATAATTAAAAAGACAAAGACACTCACCCGTGCTGATTTTTACAATACAGGAGCTACTTCAACTATGAACTAAAAGGAATAATAAAATTCATAGATTTGGTCCTCGTCTTCAAGCAATCAATTTACAACAGCTTTAGGTAAAAACGTAAAGAAAATTATATATAAATTTGTAAAAATAAATAAAATGGAACACATTCGCAAACGTCTTATTTTTTCACATACCTGGGGCAATGAAATCATCAACCAAACTAAATAAAGAACACTAAAAATAATTTACTGAAATCTAGGACGCACTCCGAATTTAATGCAGTTTATGGAAAGTTAATTTAACTATCAAGAACCTTTTGAGCGACAATGTTTTTTCCTACCGGTACTATTTAGCCTCGAGGGGCTATGCCAGCTTCGTCGAGTGAGTAGGTGAGCTCACCAATGCTCACCTGACCAATTTGCTAACACTAGCCTTGGTACGAGCAGTGCTTCGCAGAATCCACCATTGGATCGGAAACGCGACCCACCGAGAAGAAAACTGAGAGAGAAACACAGCTGACTGTGTCTGAGGGTTAATTTACTCGCCGAACTCTTCTTCGCAAGCAAGGGGTCTACTGGTTGGATAATACTGATATTAAGCGGTTAAAACGCAGCCCATAGATAGTAAATGCCAGAAAACGCCGTCAACTAACTTAAGACAAGATTGTTTTCTTTAAAAAAAAATAACAGAAATGATAATCCCAGCTGTATTTCAGACGAAGAATTAGACGGAAAATAAGACGGATGTTATTAATAAAACAAGCATGATTGATATTAAAATATATGGCATAAAAGCAAAATTGAATCAATAATGCTTACTCGTAAATTACAGTGACACGATAATTAATCTATACATAAACGAAAACGTCAAAAGTGGTTTCTTAATGCACATAAACTGGACGATCACTGCTTTACTTAGTACCGTAGTGATTATATTTATACTCTTTGCTTAGTACAAAAATGGCAGCCGCGATGTGTGGACGCGTGTTGTGTCTGATTTTATTTATAACAATATCGTACGCTCAAATGCCCGATGTGAAAATACAAGCTTTTCGCCCGAAAGGACTTCGAATATCCGTTCAAGGTGAGAATGTTATAATTAAATTATGAAATAACTAAATTCGCGACTTAGTTCTGTACTCTGTATTTTAATGTGCTTTTGGAATAGCGGTATTACATGTTTCATTGTCGAGTATTTGAATTTGGGCATGAATACGTCATGTTTGATTCTTGTCATTTTTTTGTTTATTAATAATTATAAATTGAAAATTAATTTTATTTTTTTCGTTCAACTGTAAAATTCGCATTTTTTACTCCGCTCAGTGTAATCAGTTAAAATTATGCTTAAGAAAGCACGCGTGTGTGTATTTTTGGTGTCTTTGGATCGCAGAAGAAAACCAATGCGATTACGGTTTGAAAAATATAAAGACGTAAAAAAGTATTCAAAGAAACTACTCTAAAAAAATTCATCTGTTACTAAATTAAGAACTGTTTGTATACAGCACGAGGTTTCCGCAATCTATTCTAAACATACACATCCACTATATTAAATAATCTATATATTAATACGTGAAGCAAAAACTTTGTATTCCTTTTTACGTAAATTGCGCGGACGGAGGAGTATGAAATTTACCACACTTATAGAGAATATAGAGAAGAAGTGCACAATGCTAATATTTTTTTTAAATAATGCATAAAATATACATTAAATCAATAAAGAAAACATTACACACACTACATGCCATGTATTTGACGCACACACGCATGCATACTATTTATTGTCAAACTTTTGTTCTTGATGTCTGTTGTCAAATTGAGATTAAACATTGTTTGTCTTTGTTTGTGATTATAGAAGTATAAAATACACAAAATATTAGTGTACAAACTTACAATTCCAATTAATTATAGTCGAATTTCGACTACTGCGGAACCTCTAGTTAATAAAGAACATTTAGAAGACTATAATATAAGCTAACATGTTACTTCGGACAATGAAAATTTATGACACACGCTTTCGCATTCATGATATCGTTATCAAAACAAAACAGTTCTGAACTCATAACCCTATCGCTAGGATACCCTGTGACATCGGCTATATCAAAATAATGTTGGGTCGTGAGCATCACACTTATCGCATTTATCTTAGTCATTTGTATACTAGTAACAGGTAAAGTCCCTGTCGAGGGATTCCCATTGATGACGATGCTACAAAGCCTAATGTTTTTTTCTAATGAATAAACAAACTGAATTTCGTCACTGGATTTATTTAATTACCTTACTTGTTGTTTAAATTTGTGTTGAGTGAGATATTGTCTCAACGTCTTATGAATAATCGTGACTGTGCTCGTTCGTGAACTTCCTCATAAAATGACGTAAAGCTCGTTCGCTTCTACATGTTTTATGTATCTCTCTCTTATAGCAGCATTGGAAAAGGATGGTCGAATTATTATTAAGTTTTAAGCTTTTTTAGCTCACGGTGCTCAGCCTGGCAAATTCGCTAACATTAACTCAAGAAAGGGCAGTGTTTCGCTGAATCTGCCACAGATCTGAATCGCGAACCTTATAAAAAGATCCGGCTAGAAACTCACTGGGCAAATTTAGCACGATAGTATGAAAACATACCTCTGCGAACCACAAGAGATCGTTGTATCGAGACTTAACTGATTTTATTTCCAAGTACCTATGCCGCGCCAGAAAATTTAAAACGATTTTCAATATTGTAATAAGAATTATCAGAGAGATTCCTATGTATAATTTCGTTTGTGTTTTCAACGTGCAGGTTGTAAGTCCGCACGACTACTTATCAGCATCCTGCTCATTTCTGCTCCATTTTAAGGGAGAGACAGCCCTTATGAAATATAACTGAGATTTATGCTTCATTTCTTGAGGTAGATCATGGAATTTTAGTTCCGATCCCCGTGGGCCCCGGTGTTGATCGTCAGATATTGATACCCACTGCTAAGCATAGGTCTCCCCTATTTAATGTCATAATATTTGATCGCCCGCCATTCTCATCCACGTCCTGACCATCTCAACAGTCAACTGTGCCATCGTCCTAATCCTGGTCACCATTTCGCCATTGTCTTACTCCATCTGCTATAATTTTGCCTGGCTGAGTGTCCAGCACAACTCAAATTTAGATTAGCTACTCTCTCACAAACATAAATACGGTACTTATTTCAAACAAAATGTTTACAACAAATTGGATGTTCACTTAAACTTAGTTATCTCATAGTTTCATGAAGAGTCACCAGAGATAGCATCGTAAAACAAACTTAGAGACTTAGAACTTACTTTACTGGTGGTAGGATCTCTTGTGAATCCCCACGGGTAGGTATCATAGCCCTGCCTATTTCTGCGGTGAAGCAGCAATGCGTTTCGGTTTAAAGGGTAGGACAGCCGTAGTAACTATACTTGAGACCTTAGAACTTATATCTAAAGGTGGGTGGCCGCATTGACGTTGTTGATATCTATGGACTCCGGTAACTACTTAACACCAGGTTAGCTCGTCCACCCATCTAAGCATTAAAAATACTTTCCATCGAAATAAATTTTGGAAATTTTTCAGACGTCCCCAAAATGACACTGTTCGCGTTCCATGGCAACTTGAACCATAAACTGGATAGCACCAGCGTCGGGACACTGAGTGCAGAGGTACTGGATCCAGTCAACGGCCGATGGGTGTACGAAGAGCCCGACCTTAAACTAAAAGTCAAGGACGTCGTCTATTATAACGCGGTCTTCTCAATCAACAAGAAAATATACGAGAAAACAAACCAACAGTTCACCGTTACAGGTTCGATTAATAGTTATTTGCGCAACAAGAGAGCAAAGTTGTTTTTTGTTTCGAGTGCTGATTTTGAGTCCCGAGCAACCACGGAATAGATAAATAAGGTTGGAAAGGCCTTTGCTCTAATTTTGTATTAGAACCAGTGTCGCCGCTTCATCCCCACTATTTTAATTTCTACACATACACACACTGTGATTACAAGTATTTCGCACACAACAAAAACACCCACACATAAATCTCAGGACAGATATTCGTTCGCAAACTAGCACAAAACACCCGTAGGCATACACACTCACACACGCAAAAAGGCAATAAAAATGTTCATACACGCTAGTGCTTGATAAAATCGATATTCTTTATCGATAAATTATCTGATGAATGAATGGAGAAAATGAAACATGAAATAAATATTGAAAAAAAAAACTATTTTACTTTTATTAATTACAAATAGTCACTGTCGCTGGAATAAAACGTATTTGTTAAGCAGTTGGCGCTTGCTATTAATTGCGAATGAATTTTTCAAAACTAAGTGTATTCTGATTTTTTTTATGATAAAATCATTTTCAGTAAAATGTTTAGAGCAAATAGTACTCGTCTTTGTCTCCAGTTTCCTCTACCTGTCACGTCAATCCATTGTTCCCTGGCGTTAGGTTCTTTAGGAAACCTAAAATTTTTAATTTACTGCATAAGTCAAATAGCATTTTACTTAGATTTTAATACGTCTTAGACAATATAGTAAATACCCGTAAATGAGAGGTCTACATGTCCCTTTATATTATACCTTCACTTTAATTCAATGATAATAATTCAATAATAATAATACATATTTATTTTACTCAAAATACGTCTCACTAAGAATATACTAGGTATCATTAATTAAATATAAAATAATGCAAAAATTATCCATGTCAAATGTAAATATAGCTGAGAATTCTATCGATGATTTTATTTCACCACATGGTCACCTCACTATCGACAAACTAGCGCCGTGCACCACGGCCAATCAGGACAAAGGCCGAAATTTCAAAGATTGAAGTGTAGAGAACGCAATGCATGTAGTACATTGGAAGCTGACTTGGTCATTGTGTTCATTGGGCGAGTACACATCGCGCAATGTATGCTATTTATAACTTGCTGCAATAATATTGTTAATGTTTGGAATTTCATAATGCTCAGTATATTTTTATGTTTTAGACAAATAATATTGTAATTAAATGGTAATTTCGATTTACCGTACGAATGATATACCTCCTCGCTCTATACTTGAGGTCTGATTTTTTGTTTTACAAGTTATAATTGCACAACACGGCACTATAAAGAGGAGATCTGTTCGCCAAAGTAGTCCGAAGCGCACTAAACGCGGTGAATGAAAGAATCGGTCGTGTTATGTTTGTATAATCATAACTGTGGCACGCTTGCCCCGCCTACATTACCATTCCAACCTTATTTATCTATGCCGTGCGAGCAACCGAAGGATTCTATGATTGATTCACGAGCGTAACGAGATTCAAAGTTAGAATCCTTAGCGTAGTAAGGGACTCAACATCACGAGAAACGTAAAAACAAACAGTCTTAGTTTTAAAAGCAAAACGATAATTCTCAGCGTTGGAATCGTAGAAATTTCAAATTCTATTCATTCCTGTAAATTTTCCAGCTAAACTAAATTGAAATGGATAATACATATAGAAATGGATAATATGTAATAATAATATATTTTAAAATTTCGTAAGAAATCAAGAAACCTGTCGTAATTCCATCAATGCAACCTCTTTGTATATCTCAGCCATTTAAATCAAAGACAGTTGGCACTTCATCTCCGCATCATAGTTAAATAGTCTAATAGAAATAGTAAAATCTACGTTAGCAATTTTTCACTGAAATCCTAGCTCACATTTCCGTAATACGTATTAGAGATTTACTGACAGTAAAGAGGTTATTCCCGGCGCCGAAACGTCAATGGATCGAAATGAATCGTCATTTAGCCAACTAGACATGAATAGCTGTGGATTTGTTAAGTTTGTATTTTGTAAATCAGAATATGTGAACGCATATGACAGCCGCCCCCGCTTTTCCTCGAAGCGATGTATTCCGCCCGTCTTACGACTTCTAACTGGAATTGGACGTTGGAATCCGATTATTTTACTGCAGTATTTGTTTTGGGAGGTAACTTTAGAAATGCTCTGCTTGGAATCACCGAAACTATAATACAGATATTACAGGGTGTTCGTAAAATTGTATGTAAACATTTGGAAGGTGATGCATGAGTTATGTGTGCTAGTAATTTTAATAGAAATAGATTTTCCACAGTGTTTCACCAAATTTCTTTGTAATTCATTTTTTTGAAATACTTTTATTTAATTAGCATCTCAACTGCTACATGGAGGTTCGATTCTCGGCCATTTCGGACAGACATTCGCGTGTCGAATGCTTTTTGTTTGGTTTGCAATACCTCTATATGTTAATATTTTAACGTATACATTAAAATCTGTATATTACTTTCCGGTTCACATAGAATCTTAGTTCGGAATTAGATGTTGTTATTTAATCAAAAATAATGATATTCATAAATGTCGTTCTAACGCTTTTCAGAGCTAGAAGATCCTAATGCAAGCACAGATTCTCAGAAACCAGAATGTAAGCCAACAAAGACGAGAGTGCGAGGCGGCAAAGCGTGCGCCGGACAAACAATATTCGAGGAGCAATTTGATTCCCTGGACGAAAACGTTTGGCAAATCGAGCAGTATATACCGATTTATCACCCCGTAAGTAGATATAATTCGTTTTTTTTCCTGCCTAAGCTGATAGCCTTGAGAGGCTATTTCAACGGAACCTTAACTAGTAGGTGAACTCACCCTAGCAAGAGCCGTGCTTCGCAGAATCTACCACCGGATCGGAAACGCGACCCACTGAGAAGATCCGGCGAGAAACTCAGTGGGCTTTGTCTGAGAGTTACATATAATTCGTCTTCTCGCATTAAAACTGTATAATCTCAAAACTTACTAATTTTACAGGAGAGTGTTTTAAAGGTTTAATGTGATATCTATCTATATGTATAAAAATTAATTGCTGTTCATTAGTCTCGCTAAAACTCGAGAACGGCTGGACCGATTTGCCTAATTTTTGGCTTGAATTATTTTTGGAAGTCTAGAGAAGGCTTGAAAGGTAGATAAATATGAAAATTCTCGGAATTAAATAAAAATAATAATTTTGTTTTCCCTTTGATGTTTCCCCCCCTCGGACGGGTTCCTTTTGTTTGTTTTGAGTTTATTTTATACAATAGTTTAGGTATTTTATTTATCGATTGAGACACTACGAAGTCTGCCGGGTCAGCTAGTTTTGAATATTAATCATCTTTGCAATATTTCTTTTTATTTTTTACCAGTTACATTATCTGTCTTTTAAAGTAAGATAAAATTATGTAATCTTAGTCCAAATATAGGGAATCTAAAAAAAACTAAAACTAAACTGTGCTCTTTTGACAGTATTTCTGAAAAAAATACTGGTGATACCAAATGATTCCGCATATTAACTCAATTACGAATATTTTTTGAAATTGTACACTTTTAATGCGAAAAGACGATATAGCCCAGTCATATTAGGTAAAAAAAGGGGTCAACCTCGGAATGAAAGATAATAAGCTGCAAATTGGTATGAACCTTTGTTTTGTCATTCTAAATGTTGTCTCAAAAGTCACAATCGTTATCGTGTCCGCGTCTCAAGATATTCAAGGTCAAAGGTCACAAAAATCGGTTTTTCGCGAATATCTGGCTTCCTATCGGTTAAATGAGANATCTCATTTAACCGATAGGAAGCCAGATATTCGCGAAAAAACGATTTTTGTGACCTTTGACCTTGAATATCTTGAGACGCGGACACGATAACGATTGTGACTTTTGAGACAACATTTAGAATGACAAAACAAAGGTTCATACCAATTTGCAGCTTATTATCTTTCATTCCGAGGTGAAAGCCCTAATATGACTGGGCTAATATTTTATCGTATCGTATCTTTAACTTTTAGAAGTGATTAGGATGTACCTACGGTTGATACGGCTTATAACCCATTGGTGGACGATGACGGTATAATTTTATTTCATTTAAAAACCTATCGTTTGCCACTATTCTGTTTAACCGACTGCTAACTAAAACTTCTATATAAAAAGCGAAGACAGCAGACACTGTTTTTTGTGAATAAACCAGTAATTGTTTATACAAAACAAAATCTTATATATTATAGTATTATAAAAGTATTATATAATAGTATTTTCTTTAGTTTTCGCAACATCAGAAAGAATAAAATATAATAAATAGGTAAATAAAATTGTCAAATAACTAAAAATTTTGAAGTCGTCGTGGCCTAAAGGATAAGACGTGCGGTGCATTCGGATCTAGCGATGCACCGTAGTTCGAATCCCGCAGGCGGGTATCAATTTTTCTAATGAAATACGTACTTGACAATTGTTCACGATTGACTTAGAACTTATATCTCAAGGTGGGTGGCGCATTTACGTCGTAGATGTCTATGGGCTCCAGTAACCACTTAATATCAAGTGGGCTGTGAACTCGTCCACCCATCTAAGCAATAAAAAAAAAGGGATTTTAATCCGTATAAGGAGCCTTAATGACATTACATTGTATTTAAAGTATTTTTATTTTATTTTACAGGAATACCCCTTTGTATCCTACCAGCGTAATAATTTAACAGTATCTACCGCAGATGGAAACCTACATATTAACGCCAAACTTCAACAACATATGCCCGGCTTTCTGGACGACTCTATATATTCTGGCACACTTAATTTGTTCAGTGGGTGAGTGGCTTTTTGGCATTTTTGACTTGACCAATTTACAAATCAGCAAACTTGGTTTTTTGATCCACTCATAGGATTGAAATAGGTTGGTTAAAAACGAAACCGCTACCAATATACAATAAATTGCACCTAATATTATTGGAGGTTTGAAGTATATGTCTCTATGATGCACTACTATAAATACATAATATTATATACTTTGAAATAACTATGTAAAAGACAGTCGAAGTTTAGATTTGGTGAATTGATAGAAAATATAGCATAACAGCGATTTAATAAATCATTGAATATTATCATTTGTTATTTTTGCAATATACTTGTTGCCATTTCAAATTATATTGCGTAAAATACCAGATCGTGAATTTAAATTAAAAATCTTAATTTAAATATACTTCAAATTGAATGAAATAATATTTTTTTATCTCATTACATCTGATAATTACGTAAATCGGAGGTCAAAATATCACCATACCACAGACCATAAATAATAAATAGATTTAATATTTAACCACGAGATTCCTAAAATCCGGAAAATGGCTGAGTGTTCTCATACGTTACCCACTAAAAAATAATTATTTGAACTAAAGACTAATTAGAAAGATAAATGAAAAAACGTATACGAACGTCAGTAAAATAGCTTAAACGAACAAAATTAAGTGTAAACATAATTAAGTGTAAATTGTTTTTTTTTTATTGCTTATATGGGTGGACGAGCTCACAACCCACTGGTGTTAAGTGGTTACTGGAGCCCATAGACATCTACATTGTAAATGCGCCACCCGCCTTGAGTTATAAGTTCTAAGGTCTCAAGTATAGTTACAATGGCTGCCTCACCCTTCAAACCGAAACGCATTACTACTTCACGGCAGAAATAGGCAGGGTGGTGGTACCTACCCGCACGGACTCACAAGTGGTCCTACCACCAGTTTGAATTACCACTAGCTAGATATTGGTAAATTTTTCCCTAAAGCTTGCACGCCAAGTAATTCAGAGTAATGTAATACTTACGCACTGGGTTATCGCCCTCCCCAGCTGTTTTCATGTTCTTTTTTTGGTGCTTTAACGGCTGAATCAGTTCGCACACAGCCTGCTGTCTAGTGGAAACAAAACCCGTATGCGTCATATCAATCGAAAGCCTTTCTCTATCTGCTATTTCTGTCTGCTATTTATGATTGTTTTGTGTGTTATAATTTTTTCGTTTATTGTCAACTAGTGAGTACAATTTAAACTTTAGTTTAGGGTTCTCACGGTTATTACACCCCGTCTAGGAAAAGCGAATTTGATCAAAAACTTACTAGCTCGATTTGGTCTCATTCGATAACCCTGGTAACAAAGCTTCCTATTGTCATCTAGGTGTACTTCGTCAGCAGAAGCGTGCATCAAACAGGCCTCCGGTGCTGATATTCTACCACCAATCGTCAGCGGCAGAATCACATCAATAGGATTCGCATTTACGTACGGAACAGTCGAGATCAGAGCGAAATTACCCCAAGGAGACTGGCTGTATCCGGGTAAGCGAATAAATGCCATAGACAAGATTTTTTTTTCTATTTAGAAACAAAGGTTTTTGGTTTACCTTCGTGCTAACAATAAAAAACCTTATTGAGTCAAACTTAGAAACTCAAATCCTCTACTCATTTAGGTTTGTATTTTAGAAATTCTATTGGAGCCGTTCTTAAAGAAGTATGGAAGTATGAATTATGCGTCCGGCGTAGTGAAGATAGCGTGCGCGCGCGGTAATGCAGAACTGTATTCCGGACCTAATGACTACAGCAATACGGTACGTATTCTCTTAGCTTTTTAATCAAACGGGAGGTAATACTTTATTCGGAATTCGTTTTTGTGCATCGTGCTGCAAGGTTGATTTGGATGTGCATTTGGCTTCAGAGGAAGTGTGAAAGGAGCCCCGGTAATTAACAAATTAAAGAGCGGACGGTTAGCGTGGTATGGACATGTGATGCGTAGAGCGAAGATGCATGTGACTAGGAGATGTGTGGAAATGGCAGTGCAAGGTAGAGGGGGAAGAGGTCGACCGAAGAAGACATGGAAGGAGTATGTTAATGACGATATGAGAGAGAGAGGAGTTAATGTTGAGATGACGGCTGATAGAAGAGACTGGAAGAGAAAAATTTGCAGTGCCGACCGCACCTAGTGGGATGAGGTGGAGAAAAAAAAAGAGAGAGGAATATGTAGGCTGGTTAAATGCTTATAGAACTCTGCTGTCTATATTCTAGTATAACATTGACTTGGCTTTTACAAAACCAGTGGATATAAGGTAGTACTATTATAGGTCTATACCACAAAGCTAATATATACCTATATGTATAGGAGTAAACAAAAGTATCTGAAACACGTATGAAACTACTTTGACGTGGTATCAAACCTGCATCCCATGGTACTACTATGGTATTCGTGATCTAAGTCTTATTCGTCAATGGACGTCAATGAATAGCTGTTTTGGAATTAGGACAGCCTTTGTTAAATACAATTAGGACTTTGGTCTCAAAACGGATAATGAATGACTTTCGCGCTTCATCTGCGCTAACCACTTAATATCAGGTGATCCGTAATCCTGAGCCCATCTGATCTTTTTCCTGCGCTTAATAATACCTACTCCGAGATTTAGAGAAATACTCAGAGCTACGCTGAGCAAAAAGTGCAAAACTATAATCCCATATTAATAATATCCTAAATCTTCTTACAGGTTTTGTACGGAGGACCGATCATGGATCTCGAGTGCCGCGAGAACTTTCTGTCCACAAAAAGACGCAGAGACGGCACGTCCTGGGGCGACAGTTTTCATACATATTCCGTTCAATGGACACCTGGTTTGTTTGTATATAAATAATACATAAATAAATAACTAAAAACAAATCACGCACTATCATCCGGCTCCAATTTAGGATTCCCTGTATTATGAGCTCAGAGACTGAAAAACATACTTATATGCATTTCAATATATAGAGATAATGGCTTAGACGAAGAGCAAACAAACCTGTTCGTCACACAATGTTTGCCCGATGTGGGAATTGAACTCACGACCCTCGGCGCAACAGTCAGAGTTGCTAACTACTGCACCATAGAGTCAGTCAAAATTTATATATGTATTTCCTTTACTTCGTAAATGTTGTAGAGAGTAAGTAATTAGATGAGTAATGTAACAAGGAAAAACTTTTGCGGCAGGAAACAAGTTACTTTAATTAGTTGATACATCTACAAATTATTTTATTTTTGTCATCGAAGACCCTTTTTTTATTGCCTTTGCAGGCAGACTAGCACACCGTCTACCTGATTGTAAGTCTCTCATGGACGTCGGCAATGCCAGGGCCAGAACCAAGCCACTGCCTACCAAAATGCCATTATGTTACGGCTCTAAGCCCACCTCGTGTTAAGTGAATATTAGTACATAGATATCAATCACAAGGTGAATTCCGCCACCCATCTCGAAATAAGTAATTATTCTGGAATCTGTTGGCTATTAGTTTCATAACTATGAAGTTTTAGATAATATAAATAAATATTCCACAACTAAAAGCCTTATTAGGATATCGTCAAGTTAGCACGGTAGACGCACCATCTGGAAACAAATACGACTTCAAATCCGGCGCTCGGGCAGCTGTTAGCAAATCCCATCCTTCCTGACTGAGCTTTTGCTCGCCCACCTGTCCTGGTGAAACTGGAAAGGCCTCCGGGCCACCAGTAACCTTATAATCCTAAAAAAAAAAAGATGTGTGGTGTCTTGGGACAGCGGATAGGAACGAAGTTCCTTATTATAAAAATATTAATTTTAAGTTCTATTCGAGGTATAAAAAAAAAACTGGAGGCTTCGCAACAACCCACGGTCATTCGGTAACGTGCGAACTTATTGTGGTACACTTCATTCACGGCTGTTTGCATAAAAGTTAGTGTATTGCGCAAACGAACGCTCTGAGATCGTGGTCAATGAATGATAAAATATATATGTTATTTTTTGTACGTTATTACAAAGTTAAGTCGTACACTGTGTGCATTACTAATAAAAATCTTACGTTACGGACGTTTTTTCCCGGTTAGGGTACCCCTCCGCATCGTCCCATAAGGAAATTCGTTCCAAAAAAAGACTTCAAATCAAGTACAATCAAAAATATGGTTGTAGATGTCGTTAATTCTGTCGTTCTCAGATTTCATAGCCCTGTCTGTGGACGGCGAGGAATGGGCGCGAGTGGAGGCGCCACGGGACGCCCTGCCGGCTGTCTGCGCGCACGCCCCGCGGCACCTGCTGCAGGCCGGCTCGCAGATGGCGCCATTCGATGACCACGTAAGTTTCAATACAATCCACTACTTGCAACAAGTAAAAAAACATCACCTTTAGAAGTCGTCGTGGCCTAACGGATAAGACGTCCGGTGCATTCGTGTTGAAGCGATGCACCGGTGTTCGAATCCCGCAGGCGGGTACCAATTTTTCTAATGAAATACGTAATCAACAAATGTTCACGATTGACTTCCACGGTGAAGGAATAACATCGTGTAATAAAAAAAACCCGCAAAATTATAATTTGCGTAATTACTGGTGGTAGGACCTCTTGTGAGTCCGCACGGGTAGGTACCACCGCCCCGCCTATTTCTGCCGTGAAGCAGTAATGCGTTTCGGTTTGAAGGGTGGTGCAGCCGTTGTGACTATACTGAGACCTTAAAACTATATCTCAAGGTGTGTGGCGCATTTACGTTGTAGATGTCTATGGGCTCCAGTAACCACTTAACATCAGGTGGGCTGTGAGCTCGTCCACACATCTAAGCAATAAAAAAANAAAAAAAAAAAAAAAAAAAAACCTAAACAATTGGGCAAAAATGAATAAAAAAATGAATCTTTGAGGCCCGATGTATTCCCGATGACCTGTTGTGAGTCCGCACGGGTAATTACCACTGCCCTGCTTATATTCTGCCGTGAAGCAGTAATGCATTTCGGTTTGAAGCTTGGGGCAGCCGTTGTAATTATACTGAGACTCCACCGTCCACCCACCTAAGCAATAAAAAAAAAAAAAAAACACTGTCTATTTTCTCACTCTCGCTTTTCCTAAATTTGTATATTTGCTCTTTAGCCGTAACGAATTAATCACGAGGTAAAATGTGCTCTCAACGCGCCTAAAGAAGTTTAACTTCTAAAAGTACTTTCGAACTCTTCCAGTTCTACATAACGCTAGGCGTGGCGGCAGGAGGCATAACGGAGTTCCGCGACGGGTCTATAACCTCCGGGGGAGTCACCAAGCCCTGGAGAGACAGCGCTCGGAAGGCATCCGTACATTTCTGGCGGCACATGTCCGATTGGTTCCCACAGTGGAGTCAGCCAACTTTAATCGTGGACTTTGTCAAAGTTATCGCCTTATGATCTAGTCGTTTAGATTTTGTTTAATTAAGTTATTAGTATAGTTTCTGCAGGCAAAATTAATTGCATTCTGAGTTTTTATTGTCAAACTACAATTTAAAATTTAATTCCTAAAAGATCTCTCTTCTCTCTAAATCCGTAATTCAGCTAATTTTATTTGTATCATTTTCTTTGTTAAATTTTGAAAGAACGGCGGATGACTAGATGATGTGATCTGCGAAAATAAAACTAAGTGGCATGCATGCAAAGGCATACACACAGCAGAATTTTACATTATTATTACCTTTCTTGAGCGAGATGAGGACTGCCGACGTGACCTGGAGTGATATTAAGGAGCAAGCGCAAGACAGTGTCAAGTGGAGACAACTTCTAAGGCCCTTATGTACCCGCGGGGTGCCCTAGGGCTACAACACAACATTACCTTTCTTAACCAAACAGCGAAATTATCTATGATATTATAGTCAGGAAGCCTGCATCTTATACTATTATTGACACATGTCCCTGAATGATTTTAACTATGAGGAAATAACATCGTGTAAAAAACTTAGCTGGCAGATTTTGAGGAATCAAAAATACCGTGACCATGCACAGGTAGGACCCACCACTCTGGCTAATTCTGCCGCGAACCAGTTGGTTTGAAGTTTGAGACAACATTTGCACGATACGATTAAGACTAAAACCTCATGGCTCGGAGTGAGTGGAGTCATTCAAGTTGCGACTGGCTCCAGTAACCACTTATAACCAGATAGATCGTGAGCCTATCAGCTCATATAGAGCAACAAAAAACAAAATAATGTACTCTTGAAAAAATAATTTTAATAAAAAACCAATGAAAGAATTCTATTTTTATTTGAACGGTGTAATTTTCAAGGGCAGATTACAGTTGATGTCATTTACTATCAACACACACATGTTTGTTCCATCGCAATCTGTTTTAATAACTACAAAAACAAACGAATTGTGAAATTCATTACTTTCAACTTCAAGTCAACTGTCAATGTTTGATTTTATAAAGACAAATATAATAAAACACCTTTTGAACGTTTCCAAAAAGAGATACACAGTTTCAGAATAAAATACGTTCGTTTTGTAGTAATAAAGCAAATTCGATAGAATACACAGGATTGCGTCATAGGGTGACGTCATAAATCCTATTTACCAATATTCAATTCTATGTCAAGAATACACATTATAGAGAGGACTAATCTTAAATTTCAGAATATATTATAAAATACAAGGAACTGATTCGAATTGTTGCTGATTTAAATTACTTTTATTTAGGACGCAATCAAACCTTCAATATCAAGGTTATGAGGTTGCAATTCAAAACAAATAATAGTAATGTTTATCACTTTAGATTAACTGTAAGTAGACATTTGAAGAGTTAGCATTTTAGTCTATTTGTAGTCAACAGTAACTGACTAGATATTTTAATTAATCACTAGTTAATGACATTCGTATTTTAACTATGGACACTTTATCTTCTTCATCTATCATCTATCACTTTATCTTCATCTATATTCAAAAACTTGTTCAGCTATTTAAATGGGGCAAACTTGATTGAAGTTCAATTAAAAACACCGAATTGTTGATACTGGTACCAAATAAAACGGACCTTTAATTACAACGATAAAGGGCGCGTATTAAGCGAAGTGTCGCATTAAACCACATAAATAGCCTCGTTATAAACACATTACATAAACAATAAAACCATAAGATATTAAATTAGAGAGTAGACCATACACCGGCAGGTCAAAGAAATGTTGATACGATGTGAGGATCGAGCCCGGAAAATTATTTCATAATGTTATTTGGATGCAAATAACCAGCCCTAGTTCTATTCCGTGCCCGAAAGTGACGTCACAAACTGACTCCACAGCCTACCACTACAAATAATAATACTTATTTAGTAGTAGCCGTTTTTATAGAAGATACAGTAATGCGATTTACCTTCACTCTTTGAAACCTTTGCGTTTCTCTCTTGCGTGTTCTCTTAAGGACTTTTTTTAAAACTACATTTTAAACTGTCAGCATTTCCTCTTAAGCAATACGTTAATTGAAATAAAAATAATTGCATTACGAAAAAATTACAGAGACAAAACTTATCGATATTATATTATGTGTGTTACCTCATGTGAATTAGCTTTTTAAATCGTGTATCATATTTAATTTAAATGAATTTAAAAATAAATCACAAAACTTAGAGCCCGAGCTTAATTGGAATGAAATCAAAAGTTCTATTATTTTTTTCTGCACTTGTAAACACTACTTCAGTTCATTAGGAACTTCCCATCCCTACACAAAAAGTCCATCTACCCACTTTTGGAAAAACATTTTTAGGACCACAATTTGTATATTGTGCAAGGCTCGTGTCGAAAACGGTCCAACGAACAACTATCCAGCTGGTTCAAGGGAAAATATAAAAAAAGAACATACTTTCTTCAAGTAAATCAGCAACAATTAACGACCACGTTCAAATTCTACAAAAACCACGATTACTTAGATCAAATACATTCATTAATTCAATACTAATAAGATACATTTTATATTTTTTATTAATTTGATTTAATCTAATAAAAAATGCCCTAGTGTGCCTTATGGTCTACAGAGAGTCAATCCCTTTTACATATTATTATGAGACCATAAAAACTGAATGACAACAATCTGTGTTCACAAAATTTGAGCCGAAGGCAGGTAAGCTTGCTGTCTACCTTGCAAGAGGATATCAGTTGCACGAGTTTCGTGATGTAATTATAACATTAATGTAGAGTCACCCTAACTGGGTGCTAAACTTCTCAGAGACACCAAATCGGGTGCTCCTAACGAGTACAGACAACAGACTGAATTCAGACTACTGGTAGGACGTCTTGTGAGACTGTACGGATAGGTACCACCACCCTTCCAATTTCTGCCGTGAAGCAGTAATGCGTTTCGGTTTGAAGGGCGGGGCAGCCGTTGTACTGAACTTGAGACCTTAGAACTCATATCTCGAGGTGGGTGGCAGCGTTTACTTTGTAGAAGTCTATGGACTCTGGTAACCACTTAACACCAGGTGGGCTGTGAGCTCGTCAACCCACCTAAACAAACAATAAAAAAAATTCTTCTGTTTGGGTGCTAATAACAAGTACAGACACCCTAACTAGATGCTGACACTCACAAACACTCGATAGGGTGCATGCTTGTACAGGCACATGTAGAGATATAGACACTCCTACAGGCGCCAATCTGGGTACATATAATAGCACACCACTCTAGGGGTACCAATACCCTTGAGCCCAGAAATATATCTGTATACTACAATCCTGAGGCTAGAAGCAGCCTCTAACCGCATGCCTGATATTGGACAACTTTTGGTACCTGGTTACTAGAAAGTTTTTTCTAATCGTGCTAGTTAAAATTGAATCATTCAGTTCTCGTGGCATCATGTAGATATTATTACATATGAAAAATCAATCAACTTCACTAGGCTAGGGATGTGCCGTGAACAGATTATGTATCGATAGAATACCGTAGTGTGTTATTATCGATGATTTAACACATTATACAAACTATATTGGAACTGCTCCATTATAATAATATGATGATTAATAATGATTATTGAAAAAAAATATCATTACACGTTATCAGAATAATAATTTGCTTTAAATTGCGGGTTTACAAAATTAAAGTATACAGTTCGCACAGTACCCAAAATTCCAGCAACAGCCGATACCTCAAGATTGAGATTAATTTTATGTATTTTATTTATATTATATTTTTCATAAATTGATGGCAGCATTTGTTTCTATATTTTTTTAAATTATTGTTACCACCACATCTCATCAATGGCAACATTAAAAAAATCGATGGACAAAAGGAGATTGTCTTTACCTCTTTTAATACAGTTATCTAACAACAATAAATATTTACTTAGTAGTTCGTAGCTTAATAGATCGATTCGGACTAAGAAGCCTACCGTTAAATACTATCTGGTACAATAGCAACACTAAAAATGTGTAGTCACTGTTATTTTGCTATTGGATTCATGATGTATATAAAATTGGTCGAGGATTAATAAATAAATTTGAATGATTTCAAATTCAGCCGTCACTTATGTCAACGCCAACTTCAATACATCGCCATTACATACATTTAATACTGAAATAACGATAAAATCTGTTCACGAGCACGATTATTACAACAGACAGAATAATTTACGCCTATATACATTAGCTATATATAGATACGAAATAAGTTCATACAAGATATGACTCGTAATCACAATGATTTATACAGTCGAGTACAAGCTACAATTTATTAATATTTCAATAAATAAACATAGCAAACTATTTAATACGAAAAAATGAGATTTATTTTAATAACAGTTTTAAACTACTCACTAACACAAAGAAGCTATTTCATTTAAAATGACAACATCACAAACATTAATTTTAAATAATAATATTTACGTACACCGCGCGCGTCGGTCGGCGGCCATCTTGACGTGAATTAAAAATGGCGTCGTACGCCACAAGAAAAGCACACTTATTTCGAAAAACTACGCTAGAAAATGTGATACTGTTTTATTACTAAACTAGACGAATACATTTTAATGTTATAATTTTCAAACGCTATAAACAAATATTTAATACATAATAATTTAATTGATTGTAAATTGAATAAATATTATGATGACGACAAATTTTAAAATCCTTCGCAGTTATATTCGCTTTCAGTAATTTTAATGTTCGATCTTTCATATATACACATATCAGCAGCTATTAGAATTCTTCTTCTAATAGCTGACCTTCGGTTAAGTTCTGTACGCAACGTATTGGCTGCGAATTTAATGTTTCATTTTGAATTGAACAAAACGCGGGAAAATACTGCTGTCAAAATCGTTCCCCAGTTCAACCATTAAAAACTAATACTGGAACTTTAGCAAGCTATATATATAAAAATTTATTCTGGTCTGTCTGTACGTAGACGGCGCCTTACCTGCACCAAAGAACAATAAAAACCGTTTATCATACTCTTAACCGACTTCAAGCCGTCTGGGAGCCGCGCTTGTTCAAACCACTTGTATCCGGATTATAGACACACATGTCGACAGCAAAAAGGAACGTTTAGGCAGTAAATTTACGATTCCTTGGAACACTAAAAAAAAATACTATTCAATACATTCTACTCGAGAAAGATATTTAATTTATTTATTGGTATAGTATTGTAATATTTAGGTTCACACAAAAAAAAATACACATATTAATCAAATGTTGCACAAATCTATTCATCGTACGACTTGAGTTTCCACTTACTTTTAAAGTAGATATTTTTAACATATTTTTATTAAATGCTTACTACAAGATTAATACTATTAAATATTATATATATATTATAGAACATTCACGCACCAAGCACCATTACTAGACCAAGTTTTGATTACAACGTACGTCATTTCAAAACGAACAGAATCTTTCTGTGTTAGAATTAATTTACAATCTTATTCATTCTTGTCTTAAGACTGAATTTCACACAACAAATATATATTACTGATGTGTCAATTCGGGTTAGTCATAACTCCGAATAACACAACATTAGATATTTACAATTTTCATTAAAACGCCAATAATTAAAATAACCTCTGAATGATTCATAAATCGTTTGTCGATTATATTTCATTCGTCCGACATTACATATAAAATATAAGAAATTTAACATATTTAACAAATGTTTATCATGAAACCGAAAATAATAGAACTATTTTTTTTTTCGTAAATATGTAGTAATATGTCATTTAGTTAACTAAACGTTACGATTGGTTTAAAATATTAACTCTGGTGCAATCAGCCGTTAATCGATTATTGATTCGCTTAATCGATTAACTTTTAACCGAAAATAAAAAATCGATTTAACATTCTGTACACGAGTCAAACGCGCTTCAGATCACAGCCTACTCAATACAACATTTATAATAATATTAATTTGCAAGATAATATCTTATTATTTATATTCTTTTAAAACTCACACGTATTGTGTTACGTTATTATTTAAATAGATTAAAATTTCATGTAACTTGTTTATGATAATTTTACAAAATTACTATTACGAATTTATTCGATAAAAACTAAACTACTAAAAATTACCTAATAATTTTAAGCTTTTTTAAAATATGAATACTAGCTATTGTGTAGTAAAACTGTAGTACAATATCAATTACTTAGAAGTACTATAAGTTATTAGTTTAATAAAATGCAGGTAACATTTATTACATTTATTATTAAATATCTATTTATATATTATAATTTTTAAAATCGTTTACAAGTAAGAATAATTGTTTTTATATACTATTAAATTTACGCAGGAAATTTCATGTACCGCAACGAAGACGGCGACTTTCGAAGCCAGATTAATTCAAGCAATTCAAATACTAGGACCTAATCCACTATTTTGTTACAACCCTAAAAATATATGTACTAAATGATATTTAATTTTATTATTTAATAATTAAACTAAGCATTAGAATTTATTATAAACTAACTAACGAATCTATAATCTGATACTGATCGATGCCTTAAAATAATATCGATAATTTTATTCTATTGTACGACAATAATAACAACACGAATATTCGATATCGATTATCGATAACCAGTGCTTCGACAGATCTCTCAATTTAAATCGAATAATTTTTATTTCAACTTCTGTGACATAATATTATGCAATGTAACGAATGCGCGCTTTAGGCTATAGTGGCTGTATTTTTTAAAACTTTGCTCACTTTAAGATTTCGACTTTGGAGTTAACGCTACTAATGGCAAGCGATCAATATTAATCTTATAAATAATCTCCTTAAATTATAATACATAGATACATCAACAAAGTTTAACAATCTGCTACTCGAAGAGCGCGCTGAGAGATATGAAAAAGCGCTAATTCTCTTTTTTTTCTTCAATCTAAGTATTATCAACTATTATTAATCTAATTCTATTCACAAATAAGCGTAATTCACCGCTAGTTACAGTTCTCATCGATGTGACATCGAATACGAGATTACTACTCACTTACAACGATAAAACGAATAATAAACTAATGTTTTATTTTCGACTAAACTATCGATAAGTTCCGAAACGTTTGCTTCACATAAATAAATAGTAAAACTCACTAGAATTTATCCCTATATAAATAAATAAAAACACTTATCAAACAATACTGCGACGACGTATCGAACTCGAAAACGATTACGAATATCGATTAATCGCATAATCGATTAGTTCACTTGTCGCGTCCATCCCGCACTGTCCGTACTGCGCGTCGGCGGATCCCGCTCCGTGACGTCACTGGCGCTGGCTCCACTTACAGCGTCTTGTCAGACTCGTGTCATACAAAGTCCATAGCGTCGTGGGCCTTAGCAGCGTACTTGCCGTAGACGCGCTTCTTCAAGGTGCGTTCGATAAGCTTTTTAATTTCGCTTACTATAAACACGCTCGACGTGAGACCGACCAGGAACAGTATATCTGCAACATGTCAAGTTTCATTAGGGATATTGATTCGGAGACACCAAAACTCCTCGCTCATCATTCGTCAGTCCCGTAGCTCCTATTAAATGATTGCTAATGTTGCTTTCAGACTACATTTAGATGGGTGGCGCATTTACGTTGTGGATGTCTATGGACTCAAGTAACCACTTAACACCAGGTGGGCTGTGAGCTCGTCCACCCATCTAAGCAATAAAAAAAAAAAACGTTGTACTATAGCATAACAGCGTATACTTAGCCAATAATATATAGTAGTACAGTACAGTGTGAACGTGTTCATAACAATGTATGGTGGGCGATATTATTGTGCTATGAGCTATATAGTATATGCTATTATATTATAGCGTAGTCTGAAAGCGGCCAAAGATGTTTGAGTCTGACTGGCTGAAAAGCGGTAGGCAGCGGCTTGGCTCTGCCCTTGGCATTGCTGAAGTCCATGGGCGACGGTAACCACTCACCATCAGGTGGGCCGTATGCTCGTCTGCCTACGAAGGCAATAAAAAAAAAAAAAAAAAAAAGCGGATCTACTGTTAACAGACACCGTCGAAGTAAAACGATTAATTTCATATTACATGTAAACGGTACATATCTATTTATTGTATGTAAATATTTTCTATTATAATGTATTGCCAACAGTACACCGCACCGTACTTACTATATCCTTTATCTTTTCCAGAATTTCTGTAAATGAAACGGTGGTCTGGAAGAGATCGCTTTTAGCGAGAAGACCGCCTATTGTACAAAGTCATCTGCTCGTTGACTGTTTTTGAATGTTAATTGTGTTTTGGTGTGCAATAAAGTTTATACTCCCTCTCTCTCTCTCTAAGGATATTATCTTAGAACTCAACTTGAAGTTTCTTCACCTCTAATTATCTAAAGTTGAATGGTAACCTGGACTCGTATCCGAGCGCAAACTATGAAGGCGTTAGATACTCACAAAACGAATTTTGTGTGTTCCCTAAATCTAGGGAAGGATGGACAGGTGCGAAGTTTGTGTTTCCCTAAATCTAGGGAAGGGTGGACAGGTGCTGGGGGGAGGGCGGTCCCGTACTCACCGTGCGCGGTGAGCGCCTCCGTCTGGAACACGCTCTGCAGCGGCGGGAAGTAGATGACCAGGGCCTGACCCAGCAGACTCAGTGTGACGGCGGCCAGGAACATGCGGTTGGAGAGCAGCCCCACCTCGAACACGGACTTGGTCTGCGAGCGGCACGACAGCGCGTTGAACATGTCGAACAGCACGAAGCACGTGAACGTCATGGTCGTGTCCCGGGGCGTGATCGTGTTGTCCGACATCTGCGGGGAGTCACACAACCTTACGACTGGTTGGGGGGGGGCATACATAGGGTCGAGCCACTGTCACACAGTCTGGAAACGCCGTAGAAGAAAGTCCATTCCAAAACCAAATGTTCCGTCGTGAAAAATATCTTTGGCTCTGCCCGCGGTATTGCTGACTTCGATGGGCCGTATGCTCATGCATGTATCATGCATACTAATCGTCATTCGAAAGTGACCTCCATCGATTAGATTTGTCGATGGAGTAGTTTCAGAGCCGCGTCAGAATTTACATAACAGCCGTGAAGTATTAATACGTTTCTGTTTGAATGATGGGGCGGCCGTTGTAACTATACTGAAAGCTTAGAACTCATATCTCCAGGTAGACGGCGGCATTTACGTTGTAGATGTCGCACGTCCATTCATCTATACAATAAAAAAATAAACATTTTTATAGTAATGTTTTACGATTTTCCCAAAGGTACCGTATTCATTAAGAGTTTTATGGGTCAAAGAGGATTTCATTTTTTATTGCTTAGATAGGTGGACGAACTCACAGCCTACCTGGTGTTCTACAACGTAAATGCCGCCACCCACCTTGAGATATGAGTTCTGAGGTCTCAGTATAGTTACAACGGCTGTCCCACCCGAGTAGATAGAGAGCACGTGCCTCACGATTGAAGACCCACAGCGTGCCGGCGATGATGATGGCGGCGGACAGCAGCACGTTGAGCAGCAGCGGGCGGGACAGCAGGCGGCGCCGCGTGTCGCGCGGGCCCAGCCCCACCACCTCGTGGTCCACGGGCTCCACGCCCAGCGACTGCGCCGGCGGACCTGCAACACGACATCACCTTATTGATTCAAGACACGAGTGAATGCTAGAGTGAGTGGGTTAAGTAGGTAGGTTTTACTGGTGGTAGGACCTCTAGTAAATACGCACAGGTAGGTACCGCCGCCCAGCTTTTTGAGAATTATTATTATTTTTGAGAAAAATGATCTATCACGTAATTCATGCTTAATTTAATGTAAATCTTTTATATATAACTAGGCCGTATTTAATTTCTCAAAAAAATCCCGTGTTTTGTACAACTTAAAATCGTTCGGTAAATGAAATTGCATGATCATCGATTATGAAAGTGGTGTAAGTCCAATTGACAGAGGTAGGTGGCATAGCCAGACCTCATATGATTTGCCTGTATTTTTAAATCAACAAATATAGTAACCTTTAATTTTCTCGAAACAAAAGAAAATGGACTTGCACCACTTTCAAAATAAACGGTCCATATAACAGTTTTTCTGAAAAACCAAAAAATTAAGACACTTGGTAACACTAAAAAGAAGTCTTGTCATTGCTTGGCAACATTCTACAATGTATCTCACCGTCCATTATAATATTGATCCAGAGAATCTGCATAGCGTTCAGCGGGTTGGGAACGCCCATCAGTGTTGCCAGAGCGATGAGCGACAACGCCGCTATCGAGGTTGACAGTTGGAACCTCACGAAGTTTCCAATGTTGTAGAATATCGATTTTCCTTCTTCGATTGCGGCTCTGTAATTGAAGTTGCAGGTCATCGAACGGAATCCGTCAGCTGAGCATCGATTTGTAGTGAGAGACATGCCGTTGTCCGTGAGCGACGCAATCACTTACAGGTGTTCACTGAGCAAGACCTGTAGGATCTAATTAGCGGGTAACGTTCCGATGTACCGATGGATTTATTAAAGCAGCTGCTACTATTCCGGAAGCCCCCGGGCAACTCTAAGCAAACATTGAGCTTTTCGTAAAGGAAAAAAAGCTACAAAACGAACCAGTTGAGTAGATACTCGTGTAAGCTTGGCGCATCAAATGGCAAAATCTAATATATAAAATTCTCGTGTCACAATGTTCGTTCCCATACTCCTCCGAAGCCGCTGGACCGATTTTCATGAAATTTTTTATGCATATTCAGTAAGCCTGAGAATCGGCTACTATCTATTTTTCATACCCCTAAGTGATTAGGGTTGTCCACCCCTAACATATTTTTTTTATTTGGATTTTTTTTTTTGTTATAATGAGGTATTATGTGGTTGAATGAGGTTTTGTTATTTTTATTATATATTCCCTCATCGTTCACAGCGCTACATGCCTCTTTCACTCATTTACCACATCCTTACAAACTTACAATAAGTTAGTTTTTTTTTTTCTACACTAGAAATTCCCTAGAAATCTTATATATGGCAAAACAATGTTTGCCGGGTCAGCTAGTATTGTATAAATTTAGCGATAGCATTTTTCGACCCGAATCCACGTCGCTACATTCCCTTCGGTAAGACATAACAGTGACACGTTCACTAATTGGCGGAAACGCGAGCGACGAAGCTGTGTGAATGTTTCTTCATGTTTAAACATGTAATAATTGCGATTTAACATCTGCGAATGTGTGCACCAGTTTGGGAGAACAGAATAAAGTACCACTTAAATCTCAAGTAAATTCTCACTATTCAAGTGTAACTATTTCATTTATTCTAATCTAATTTCATTGATTTTCATCACAATTGATTACAAACTCAACTAAATCAATTTCACTTCGTTCATCGATCCATAACATTTTTTATTTAACATTATATATGTTTTATTTAAATATAATAAACGTTGAATATTTTTATTTTCGACACTGGCAACAATGGCGCCGCAATGAAGCCATTATTGCCATATTAAAAAAAGAATAATAGTAATTGACGAATAGCTCACATGATGGTGGCGAAGTCATCATCGACCAGGATCATGTCGGCGGCCTCCTTGCACACGTCGGTGCCGTTCTTGCCCATGGCAATGCCGATGTCTGCCCGCTTTAGCGCCACGCCGTCGTTGACGCCGTCACCTGCATTAGCCATCATCAAACATGTTGTATCGCAGAAAACGACGATATAAATCACAAAATCTGGTGGTAGGACCTCTTGTGAGTCCGCATGGGTGGGTACCACCACCCCGCCTATTTCTGCCGTGAAGCAGTAATGCGTTTCGGCTTGAAGAGTGGGGCAGCCGTTGTAACTATACTGAGACCTTAGAACTCATATCTCAAGGTGGGTGGCGTCATTTACGTTGTAGATGTCTATGGGCTCCAATAACTACTTAACACCATGTTGTCTGTGAGCTCATCTACCCATATAAGCAACAAAAAAAATTCAAAAAAAAAGTTTTGGGTGTGCAAAATTCATAAATAAATAAATAATATATTTTCAATCACCCGTCATGCCGACAATGTTCCCGAGCCGCTGGAGAGACTTCACAATAGCGAGCTTGTGCTTTGGCGTCACCCTGTAGAAAACGCTCACCTGAAAAATTCACATAACATTTAATTTGGATTCAATAATAATGTTTATTATTCATGATTTCAATTATTAAAGGAAAATAGACAAAACATTAAATCATATAATACAGTCGTAATTCATGTTTCTGATGTCGGAATATGCATTAGTAATGTCATAACTAAATAAGTAAGTAACTAAGTCCACAGTAGCTGCTTCGCGAATGAAAATAATTATAACATTAACCACGGTGTCAATGGTCTGCTAAATGTAGCCTGATACACTTGATTAGTATAGAGATATCTCTAATTCACTAGTAGGCTCCATTCTAAAACAATCAATTGACTAACGATTGTTGGATTGAATTTAAAAAGCTATAGTACTCCGATTAGTACTATAAATGAAATCTTTCATAGTTATGAACAAATATGTCTAATAAGGACGATATGATGAAATATAAAAAATAGTTTTTTTTTTGCTAACCATACTCTATTAAAAATTCATTCATGGAGTTATCTAAGACTGATTTTTACCTGGAACTCTTTGCAACTGTAACAAACTGTTTTTTTTTTTTCAAATTAACTATTCACACAGCTTTTTTTATATTGATGACCTCAAACAAACTCAAATTAATCAATTGCTTCAGAAAATTAAAGTTTATTTTTTTGTCAACAAAAATTTAAGCCAAATTAAATTTTACTATCGTGAATTTTCTGGAACCGATCAACTGATACTTTGATTAATTTAAAAATAGGTAATTAATCGCGTCGCGATAAGAGTTTTACGGCAATACGAAAACCAAATTGATTATCATATAAGGTACTGACAATCCCAGGCGATTTTAAATTATGTAATTATAATTGTCCATCTTAATGTATCTAATCATTAATAATTATTTAGTTTTATGCGATAATTATCTGAAATTTTAATATCCAGTGATTTTGCAAGTCAACAAAGTTTTGTTATTATCATTTTTTTTTGGCTTTGCAAACAGACGAACGAGCATATAGTACACTTGGTGAGTGGCCAGCATCGCCTGTGGACATCAACAAGGTCAGAAGTACGGCCAAATTGCTAAAGATTTACAAGACAAAGTTTTCAAAAATCCATCATAAAATTATGGTCACCCAATGTGTTCTGAATGAAGTGGCGGCAGGTAGCTAGCTAATAACTAGGTTTATTTGTGACGGTTTTCAATTATGATATCAATTTTCTATCTGTTTCATATTAAAGTAATTAAAATTTACGTTTAAAGCAATTGGTTCGCGTTAAAAATAAATTATAAATAAAAATACCGTATCGATAATGCGGTCAAGTTCTTCGTCGGCCATCGAGTCGAGTTGTTCGCCGGATAGAGATTGAGAGTGCAGGACGTCCAAGCCGACCATTTGTGCTGAAACCAATATGTTTGTTTGTTCTGTCGTTCTCTTTTTTATACGGAATTGAGAAAAGATCTTTTAATTTTTTTTATTTAATAATGTAATAGACATACAAAGATTTACGACGACAGTGACGGCAACCGTGCCGTGTGGAATTAGGAATAGGACTGACTGGATAGGAAGGGATTGTTCTCTAATAAAGGATCATAAGTGCTGATGCTATTCCGGAAAAGTGATGATGGAAGCAAAGCTAGGAACCAGAGTGGAGGCCCGGGCGGCGATTGTACCATTACACGCTATGAACGCGCAATGAAACTCGAACTTTAAATTTCACGCGTTTATATTATTAACCGTGGAAGTCGCGTGTCATTTGTTTTTATAGAGAACTGTAGCTGTACCCGCGACTTCCTCCGCGTGGAATTTGGCAAAAAAAATACTAAATTTTATATTAATTTTGGCATTTTTTAAACATAGAAGTAGCATAAGTTACATCAAATATCTGCCAGTGAAAGTCTCGTCAAAATCGGTCCAGTGATTCCAGAGATTAACCGGAACAAACAGACAGACAGACAAAAATTATACAGACTAAAATGTACCGTATGTACCGTATATGCATGTAGTAAAAAGCGGTTACTTTAATATTAAAAAGGGACACTCCAATTTTATTTATTTGTACAGAAGATAAGTAAGAAAGTGATCGTGTAGAGGCGCGTACCGACAGCAAGCGCCGTGGGGCGCGCGTCGCCGGTCACCATCTTGACGTCGACGGCGGCGCGGCGCAGCGTGCTCACGGCGGCGCGCACGCCGGGGCGCGGCGGGTCGCACACGCCGCACGCGCCCGCGTACACCAGCCGCTCCAGGCTCGCGCCGCGGCACAGGGCTATCGTTCTTAAACCTATTAACATATAAATTAGAATAGCTTGAATAGAACCGTCGACTTACGACCTTATTTCTTAACTAGTTAAACAGGACCACAAAATTAAATATCGAGCCGTGAAAGGGTATTTAGTTTAGGCGAAATTTATCCTTGTAATTAAAGATCCATTTTATTTGGTATTATCATTAACAGATCGATGTTTTTTAATTGAACTTCAATTAAGTTTACTTCATTCAAATCGCTGAAGATGTTTTTTGAAGTGAAACTTCTAATGCGACTTCCAGCATGGTTGCGTTAAACGTTTAACGCTCCTGGGGAAGGGAAATAGAAAGAGACAGAGCGAGAGTGAATGCGTGACACTCGAACGCATGCGCGTGGCACGCGCTTTATAATGCGTTTATACTATAATATTAAAAACAAAAAAAAACCTGAGCTCACCCATTCGTCCGATGTTGTACACCTCGGCTAATATTTCGTTCTGCTTCTCGTTCGTGAGCGGCGCGTAGTTGCCGGCGCTGTCGATGTACTGCGTGCACAGCGGCAGGACCTTCTCGACGGCCCCCTTCACGAACAACTCCTCCTTGCCGCCGTCGGAGAACTTCGGGGCGCATTTCACGACCATCATCTTCGTTTCTGAGCTGCCAATCGAAAGAAAACAACGGTTGATTTCCATGATCAGACTTAGATAGTATTAGTTGGGTTACTTTTATATATTTTTTATTGCTTAGATGGATGGACGAGCTCACAGCCCACCTGGTGTTAAGTGGTTACTGGAGCCCATGGACATCTACAACGTAAATGCGCCACCCACCTTGAGATATAAGTTCTAAGATCTCTGTATAGTTACAACGGCTGCCCAACCCTTCAAACCGAAACGCACTACTGCTTCACGGCAGAAATAGGCAGGGCGGTGGTACCTACTCGCGCGGACTTACAAGAAGTCCTACCCCCAGTAGCGCGTATGAGAACAAGTGATACTCAAGACGGCCAGTGACACACTAACATTTATTTCAAACATAACATTTCCAACTTTAAAGCTGCTTTCAGACTAAGCTATACTATAGTGCCATATAGTATAGCAGCGTATAATTAGCCAATAATATTATTATAGTACAGTACAGAGTGAACATATTTATAACAATGTATGACGCGCGATATTGTTGTGCTATGAGCTATAGATTATTATATTATAGCGTAGTCTGAAAGCGGCTTAACAGTTCAAGACGTACAGTTACTATTCGTCCCATCCTGGTCGGCAATGTTGTGTTAGCGCGCATATATTTTTTAATGCCAGACGCAGACAGACGAGCATACCACCCACCTGATGGTGAGTGGTTACCGTCGCCCATGAAAAAAATGCGCATGGGGACAAGGGATACCCAAGACGGCCTGTGACACACTAACATTTATTTTAAGCATAACAGTATTCTGGTGGGACGTGACGTCACACCTCACGTGCCCCATACAAATTTCTACTAGCTATTTGTAAGAAAGAGACAGAGCATATCCTTCCTATTCCTATCACCTCCTTTTTCATCAAAGCGCCCGATGCCCGGTTGGGAGCTCTGACGCCTGAGCACCCGTGAGCCTGACGCACCTGAAAGGTATCTCGTGCAGCCTGGTGTACTGTTCCCGGAGGTCGCGCAGGCCGTGCTTCATGGCGCAGGCGACGAGCGCGCCCTCCGTGGGCTGCCCGTACAGCGTCTCGTCGCGGATGTGCGCGTTGTTGCACAGTACCGCCACCTGTCGACAAATGTTTGCGTTACATTAATGACCGGACAATTTAACGAACCTGCTGGGCCTAATTGGACCTTAAGAATTACGTGGATTTCAATTCGGTGAATGAGTTAAAAGCCCGATGCAAAGTTTCTACCAGAATCTATAGACATAACTGCAATATAATCACACCTTAAGACATGAGGATGAAGTCTCGATTGTATGGACTATGACTGCCGTGCCCTTTAAGCCGAAGCATGTGGTGCTTTGAGGCAGAGATTGGTTGGACGGTGGTACCTACCCGTGCAGCCTTACAACAGACTTTACCAGCAGTAAACAATGGCTAAGGATGGCAGTATGTTGGTATGAGACTCGAAGAAGGTTACTGTCCTTTCTCTGGTGAATCCTGTAGGTGCCTACTACGACAATCACCGGGAAGAAATGCGATAATGCTACAATGAAACAAGATAGTCATTGCATGAGAAAGAATTGTTGTCCTACTCTATATACTGTAATGTCACATATGTCATGTATAAGCACCCAGTATAGATACCGGTGTAAGTAGTCAGTATGAATACCATTATAAATATTCAGTATGAATACCGCTATAAATACCCAGTATGTATACTGATATAAAATACCCGGTAGAGATACCGGTATAAATACTCAGCATGAATACCGGTGTAAATACCCAGTATACACGCTCTATCGCTAGTAATGTTAGATATCCTTGAAACGTGACAAAGAACTATTGACACGATTACAATAAGAAATCCCTCACCTCTAACATACTGGTGACACCCATCCTGGCCACGTCCAGATCTCTGCCCTTGTATGCTCGCAGTTGTATGTCTCCGCGCCCGTTGTATCCCGTTCCGGTCACTTCGGCGATGTGGCCACCGGATGTCGCTATTGTCGTCACTGTCATTTCATTCTTCGTCAACGTTCCTGCAGAAAACAACTCGTATTCTACAGCATTTGCTCGTAAGGTCAGCGATCTCAGTCAGTGGTCTACGATAATCTTCAGTCGTAACCCTCTCGTAGATGATTCACTCACCCGTCTTGTCACTGCAGATGACATTAACGCATCCCAAAGTCTCAACGGTGGGCAGCTTCTTCACTATGGCGTTACGTTTCGCCATTCTCATGACTCCGAGGGCCAGGGTCACAGTCACGACTATTGGCAGACCTGGATCATGAATTTGGCGAGATTAGAGTCGGATCTTACATCAGACGCAGATGTGGTAGGCCCTGATCTAGTCGGGAGCTGGTATCTCTTTTTATGCGATTATTCTCCAAATATATCTTCAATTTCATGTTCCACAACGAAATGCGGTATTCCGGTCGATACTAGGTTACCCACGAGCTTATTGGCCATTACAATTGCCCATACCTTTTTTTTACCTATCCATGCTGATAGCCTTGAGAGGCAATTTCAGCTTCTCCTTGACGTATGGGTGAGCTCACGGGGCTCAAACCAGGAGTGTTGCTAACATTGGCCCTGGCAAGAGCAGTGCTTCGCAGAATCTACCACCGGATCGAAAACGCTACCCACTTAGAAGATCCGGCTACAAACTCAGTGGGCTGTGTCTGTGGGTTAATTTTACTCGTCGAGCCCTTCATCGCAAGCAACGGTTACGGCGACCAGTGCTTAAGGTTTGCCCATACCAATTTAAGATGCACGATATAGGTAATTTTAAATATACCTATTTTCATGATAACTACTCTCAAAATTAAGTACGATCGTTGGCACATTACCTTCGGGTATGGCAGCAACGGCGAGACTGACGCCGATAGTGAACATCTCCTGCAGAGCTTTTCCTTGGAGCCACCCCGTGATCATGATGAAGCCGATGATGCAGAAGGAGTACATCGAGAGCTGGCCCCCGAGGGTGTCCATAGACTTCTGGAGCGGGGTCTTCGGGGCTTCTTCGGCTTGCATCATGCGGAAGATGTCACCGAACTCTGAACGTTCTCCCGTGCTGACCACGATGCCCTGTCGCGGACAATTTCTTGCCTTAGCTTACTTACTCTTTTATATATTTATTGATGGTGGGCATAATTAAAACCATTTTTACGGTTTAATCTCGTATTTTTATTATCATTATTATAAAGTCGAAAAAAGCGTAAAGTAATCGAAAACAATAAAAATTGTTTAAATTATTAATTTAATATTTTTATATGTTGCATGTTGATGAAACTGGATTTATAATTAAATTATTGTCTGCGTTCACGACAAAACACAATTTTTTATTTTAAATATAAAAATACAAAACGATTCCGAAAGCTTTTTTAAGATTTGTGCACATATTATACACACATATGCATGTTTCTTTTTTTTTGCAGTCTGATCGATAGCACAATGATGATTCCGAACACTTGTACCTCAATTGTTTCACAACAGACTAATTCAAACAGCATTAGTTACGTGGCCTTACCTTACCTGGTATAAGTGGTCTTTGGTTAGGCAGGATTTATCGATATACCCTCAAAAGAGCTTAAAATTAGAAATACGAGTATAACGCGAAACAGCACGCACAAAATTTAAATGATTTATTTCTTTGTTGTATCACTTTTGTCAGAGCGATCGTGGTCGTCAGTCAGTATCATTGCTGTGGACAGATGTTATACGCATCACGAGCAATAAATAGCCACTTCTCCCGGTTTGCAGAGTGGTACACTAATGCAAACAACCGCCAACTGCCGACTTGACTTGCTCGCTCCATCGCATGGGCAAGCTTCCACGTGGTCTGGAGCCTTCTACATTGCCCTTAACGACAAGGTGCTCTATGGAGTAATATCCTCGCCGGGCGATATCCAAAAAATGATAATATCCGCCTATGCACGAGCGCCGGAAGACGCTGCTTAATGCCGAGTTCTTAAAGAATGAAGATATTGGTGCGAAATTCGGTCTATAAAATACCAAGCATCGTCTCCAGCACCACATCTCTAGAGCATCGATCTTCTTTCCCTAGACTGTAGAAAAACGATTGCTTTAACAAAATATTGAAGCGTTTTATTACACGAACTCACCTTCGCATTGCCGCATCTAACCAGTGTTCCCATGAAGGCTATGTTATCCTTGTTGACCCTGCCGGCGGCCGCTTTGTTCGGCACGATGTTCTTGACGGCGGGTTCCGTTTCCCCGGTGAACGATGACTCGTCGATGGCCAGGTCCGTGGAGTCGAAGAGCCGCAGGTCGGCAGGCACCCTGTCCCCGACGTTCAGGTGGACGATGTCGCCTGGGACCAGGTTGCGGGCGAGGAAGTGCTCGAGACTTCCCTCTCGTAGGCTGTGTGTTATTATTTTATGAGATCGCACCTTTAGAATTGAAGTGGTTTAATCGAAAATTCTTATTTTTTTCGTTTGGAGTTGCTTTTATTTTTCGTTTTTAATACTTTGTTCGCTTGATTTAAAACAGACTGAAATAGTACGTTTGTTCTTTTCTGGACTAAAAGAGGCTAGCTAATTTTAGAAACTGTTTTTTTTACCCTACCTTTTCGCTGGTAGCCTAAGAGGCTATTCCAGCTACGCGCGGACGGATAGATCAGCTCACGGGCTCAACCTGAGAGAATTTGCAAACACTAGCCCTAGCAAGAGCGGCGAGAAACTCAGTGGGCTGTGTGTATGGGTTAGTTCGCTCGTCAAGTTCGACGAGGAAGAAACTGATAGAATACATGTTTATAAATCGTTCGAAGTATAAAACTCATTGTCTTCACATTTTTAGTTAAGCCACTTCAATTCTAAAGGTGCGATATGTTACAGTCATAATCGAAAATTGGTCTGTTCTAGCGATTACCGATTATATTACAACACTTTTCCAAACCACGCTAACGTCGACCGCAAACAGAAAAAAAAACATAAGCATACATGAAATCACTCGATCGGTATCTAATAATATATTTTTTAAATCATTTTATTACAATCAATATCAAAATAATTTATTATAATTCGAATGTCCTTGAATATTATTATTGAAAGTCAAAATTTCAATGTGCCATGGGTTCTAAAAAGAAATACAACATGGGGACTTGTTTTTATTTTATTTTCATACGCATTCACGTCCCTGACCTCCTCCTTCGAAATCAAAATAGATTACAGATAGATTACTTAAAACAAAATAGATTACTTGTAGAACATACAAGACCACACACTCACCAATTGCATGACGGAGGCACAAGTTTATTAAGTTCCTCGAGCGACTTCTCGGAGCGGTACTCCTGGACGAAGGCGACGGTCACCACGATGATGATGGCGACCGTGATCGATATCGCGTCGTCGAACTGGCGCATGCAAACGCTCACCACCGCCGATCCTGGGGAAGACAAAAAATCGGTTGTCTGTAAAGTCGGTTTACTGACGATAGTTGAACGTGACAACGTCATAAGAAAATACTGATGGAATGGTTTCATTTTTTTTCAATTATCGCAATTATCGTTGCTATAAACAATTGACGCCACATTCACTTTTCACTGACTTTGATACTTTCTTTCATACTTGACGAAAACATGAACACTTCAGAGCGAGGTAACGCCGCATGAGTCATGTTTTTTCGTGCGTGCAGCGGGCTCCATCGAATTATATATAAGACATTGTCACGTCAAAAATACTTTGCACTAAATTTCGGAACTAAAACCGCAATAGTTTTAAAATTTCCTTGTATCGGTAGCTCCGAATCGATCAAACATTTATCTGATATACCAAGCAAACACAAGTGCTAGATGAAAGATTTTCCATTTGCAGACGTACCCTAAAGCAGTATTCAACTGTTCCCAAATAGCTTATCTTGTTATTGCTCAAAATGGATCGACAAACACACGGCCCAGTGATGTTAAATGGATAATAATAATAATAACCATGAAACTTGACATTGAATATTTTTTTTATTGCTTAGAGGAGTGGACGATCTCACAGCCCACCCGGTGTGAAGTGGTCACTGGAGCCCATAGACATCTACGACGTAAATGCGCCACCCACCTTGAGTAGAAGTTCTAAGGTCTCAAGTATAGTTACAACGGCTGCCCCACCCTTCAAACCGAAACGCATTCCTGCTTCACGACAGAAATAGGCAGGGTAGTGGTACCTACCCGCGCGGACTCACAAGAGGTCCTACCACCAGTAATATGATTGATCAAGTTTCGATGATATTGTAATCCAGCTATTCCGAAGCAGAACCCTTAAATGCTTTGAACATTCGAACCGTACGTATCCTGAATATAAAATACTGGGTACGCATTTGCTAGCACTAGAGGTCCCGCAGTAGTCGAAATTCGACTATAATTAATTGGAATTGTATAAGTTTATACAATATACACTATTATGATTGTATTTCATACTTCTATAATCACAAATTTCGCCAAGACTACACTATAAAAAATATTAGTAAAGACAAACAATATTTAATCTACTCCCAATTTGACAACAGACGTCAAGAGCAAAAGTATGCATGCATGTGTGCGTCAATGTGGTATGTAGTGTGTGTAATGTTTTCTTTATAGATTTAATGTACATATCTTTTATGCATTATTTAAAAAAAATATGAGCATTGTGCACTTCTTCTCTATATTCTCTATAAGTGTGGAAAATTTCATACTCCTCCGTCCGCGCAATTTTCGTAAAAAGGGATACAAAGTTTTTGCTTCACGTATTAATATATAGATAACATTGAATCATGAACGCTATTCCATACCACAAAGCCGTAATGTGTAACTAATCATCATTTAATGTTAACATTGAAGGCAATTCTCTCTGACTGAATTATTTTACCTCGATAATAGAATGAAAGAACAAAAAAATATATATACAGAAAACATTAAACCGGTCTGGAAACTATGAATAACATGGCTAAGTTCATTTAAAGGCAAAAAAGAAACAAGCAAAAACTAGTCGTAAAGCCGAGTGCATTACATTGCGACCCTGACAATGACCGGGCCGAGCAGAACCCGTGGCCAATTATCAGCTATAATTAAAATAGCATGCGAGATTATTTAAATATCTTGAAAATATGTTTCCTACTCACTGGAGCGGAGGAACTCTTGGTTTATTTTGTGTTTATAGTAACCAAGGATATGAATAAAGTAAATATTTTATACTATAAGATATATTATTTAGTTTAAGCGACACATGTCATCTCGGATCCTCCCGATCCACTAACGGTGCTTCTAGGTACTTCAAGCACCGGTCACCGTTCTCTTCGAACCCGTCGCTTGCGACGAAGGGCTCGACGAGTAAATTAACTCTCAGACACAGCCCACTGAGTTTCTCGCCGGATCTTCTCAGTGGGTCGCGTTTCCGATCCGGTGGTAGATTCTGCGAAGCACGACTCTTGCTAGGGTTCGTGTTAGCATCGTCGTCAGGTTTAAACCCCGTGAGCTCACCTACTAGTTAAGGTTCCGCTGAAATAGCCTCTCTAGGCTACCAGCTAAGGTAGGAAAAAAATAAAATATTAAGCGACATTTTTTGTAACTTAACAGGAGAAACATTTAAAGTTTAAATTTGGAAAAAAATTCAAAACAAAAAAACTTCTGCTATTCGAAAGGAGTAAGCTTAATTGAAATTCAATTAAAAACATGGAGTTGCTGACGCTAATACCAATTTTAATTACAAACATAAATATTGTATATTAAGCAAAATATCGCGTAAACTAAACAGCACCCCTCGATTTATTTATCTATTCGAGCTATACGCTGTTTTTTGAAATGTTTTTCATCAGTCCTTCTTAGGCCCGCCGTGCCTCTCCAGTTTTGGAAAAGGAAGCAGGAATGCGAATATTATCAGCGAGCTTTGTCTCCGGCAGATATGCGCTTGTCACTGATGTGACCGAAGTATATGGACCCCGGTGGACTCCTAACACCTAAAATATAAAACCTATTCTAGAAATTTCTCGGCACCTGCGCTTCACCTTAAAACCCTATAGGTTTCAACGAGAACGTAAAGTTCAATAAATTATATATAACTCATTAAAAGCAGGTTCAGATACATAATATTAAAGTTTATATCGAGTGATAAATCGCGCTGCCAATATAACCCTATTTGACTATAAAAACTCAAACAAGTATGTAATACAATGTTGAGTTTTTAATTGGAGCGAATAAAGATACATATTAATAGAGTTTTCAACGTATTCTTTTACTTGAAATAATGGTTGTATTTTACATATTTTAATTGTATAAAACTCGTTTGTTTTTCTTTGAGAATAAACATTGAAATGAGTTTGAAACACGAACATAAAAATGAGTTTGTTATTTGTTCCTTTTTCTAGATATCAGGATTGGGGTACATGTCGGCACTGTCCTTTAGCCCGCGGTCTGCTCCCATAAATAATCAAAAATAATCATAAATAATAAAAAATAACCATAAATAATCCGGTAACAAAGTCATAAATAGAGCCGAAGAGTGCATTGGGCTTCTTTTTCGCGAGATACTACTACTAATACTCGTGATTCATTATTAAATTTTATCTATCCTTATTTGCTCATTAGCATAATGAGTTTTTTTGAGAAATTCATTTTTTATGGTATCTCCTCTATATGTTCGTGTATTCAAGGCAGAATTCCGAGAANACCATAAATAATCCGGTAACAAAGTCATAAATAGAGCCGAAGAGTGCATTGGGCTTCTTTTTCGCGAGATACTACTACTAATACTCGTGATTCATTATTAAATTTTATCTATCCTTATTTGCTCATTAGCATAATGAGTTTTTTTGAGAAATTCATTTTTTATGGTATCTCCTCTATATGTTCGTGTATTCAAGGCAGAATTCCGAGAATTATTATTTTAGAATCTCTATTATGCCTATATTTAAGACAATATTTTTCTGGGAAAATTGAAGGTTCGCATTTTTTTATATGTTTTTATTAAAAATGGATAAATTTGAATATGATTGGAACCAGGTGCTCACTCATTTATACATCTCACACGTGTCACTCCTATGTCGAATAAGACGAAAGAAACAGTTAACTTATTATGGCACGCTCTACCTGTTAACCTCAATACACGGCCAACATAATTCTAGAAAATTGAAGAAAAACTCAACACTACCGACGACAACCTTCGAATAATAATTAACCAAGTTTCGTTTTTTGTTCTATACAGTTCTAGATTATTCTTTCGAAGGCTGACTATGATAAGACATCGCTATTTTTTTGAGGCCGTACATCGGGTCAACGTACCTTCGTATGTACATTCGAAAGTGTATACTGCGCTAGAGGTGCGAACAAGGCGCAAAAAATATCGATACTTCGAGATGCAGTGTTCCGTATGCGATCCTTTATCGTTAACACTTAATTTATTTTAGTAATAGGTATGATATAAAGTTTATCGAGTGCATGTTTTAGGCTATTCAATACCACCGATTCCGATCCGGTGATAGATTCATTCGCGAAGCATCTGCCCTTGATTTGTTAGGTCTCCTTTAGAGGCGCTCGAGCAGCTATTAGCAAATTCCACCCCTCCTGGCTGAACCTTTGCTCGCCCACCTGGCCTGGTGAAACTGGAAAGGCCCCCGGGCCACCGGTAATCACTCAAACATAAAAAACTCTTCAAGATATTCTTAAAACGCACGTTTCAAGTAAAGTACATTCGTATTTTTATCATTTTATGTGGTTACATCGCAACACGAACTCCGCTAACCATATTGAGATGTGAGGTCGGAATCTCGATTACATTAGCATCATAACTCTGTAACCCTTGAAACAGAAACATACTCATGCGATTTCTGAACACGAATCAGAATGTGAGTGTATAAGAAAATTTATAATTTTTACCTGTGAGATTTTACCTATTATTATTACTATCGTATGTTAAGATTTCAAAAATATAATTCCATTCTCGACACGATTAGGCCGTCTTAGCAATTAGACCACACATTCATTAATTTCATCTATTATTTAAAATCTCAGACTATAATTAGTTCTAATGCATTTAAGCGATCAACTATGAAAGAAATTACTTATAAATATGTAATTCATCTTAAAGTTATAGCCCTTAGGTAGAGATCTCGATGCAACGACAAGCAAAGTACACGCAAACCAATCGAGAGTTCGAAACAATAATGAGAGAGTTCGAGAATTCGGCTATACAAGTATTCGATTTTATGCGAATTTACTTGTCGCAACCCTATTTTGTACGTTGTGGGTACGATTATAAAGGAGGCTGTAATTACGGTACTTTTAATAGCCGGTTAATGGTAACAAAAACGTAGACGTAGTTGCATTCGTGTCGACATTACAAAAGCAAATTCCTTTATTCCTCCTATAAAGTTGCCAAATTAATGGGATGTCGACCTTAAGCATTCGTGAATACATTTCACAT